TTTCCTCGCATTAGTTTCGTAAAAATTTGCCGTGTCAACATACCATGACACACGGAATACCATCGCGAAACCATGATGCCGGTAAGCCATAATCAAATTGTCCTTTCCCATTAACTACATTTTCTTACCAACCGCTATTGCTTCCAGCGCAAACACATCTTTCTTTTACCTTTTCTATTCTCTTCTCTCTTCTATTTTCTCCTTCTTTCTACTATTGTCGCCCTTGCAACGACATACGTATATCGTAGAATTTACGTTTTACGATTAATCGTAAATTCTACCTGACCGGAATATAAATCAAGGAAACCGTTGATCAAGTGTAATCTGTATAATTGTGCCGCTCTGTTCTCCATTCGTCCGATATAGTTCATTGTCTTCTTGCGTAAGTAGTCAGTGTCTTCTTCTTCGTTTACCATCAGTTTCTTTGATGATTTTTTCTACAAGCGATACAATTTGTATTTCTAATTGCTACGCGTAGCATGAGATGGAAATTCGTTTAACTGATTATTTTTGTTTACTTTGCTACTATTTATTTTTCATGAGATTTTTTAAATCGTGCACATTATTGTGTTGATATTACGATGGTAAGAAAGACAATTTTCGCATATTAGTAACGGATTAAACATACCCTTACCAATATCGTTGAAGTAGCCTAATTTTTTTTCCATTTATTGTTCCTTTGGTTGTGGAGATCCTCGATCGTATATTGTTATTGTTCAATATTATTGTACAAAGTTGAAGTTGCACGAATTTTACCATTTCTATTGTCACTTCTTTTACTACTTCTTTACTGTCGTAGGTAAGGTATTGTCGATTCCCTCGACCCCGCATTTTCTTTCGATTTAGCTTCCGTTATAATATTTTGTAGCCTCTCGTCAACCAAAAATTTGAAAAATATATCGCCTTGTTCAAGTCGAGTTTATCGTATTCTTCATTCGTCGATTAACGCTAAAATTGTCATTTCATGTTTTCATAATACCATCGATAAGTTTCCATAATATACCATCCACGACAATTTCATTTGATTTTGTTTTCACTGCGTTTAATCACTCCGTCTGACAAATACGTCCCAATACTTGAGATTCTAAAGCGTCACTTATTATCCTAACTGTTCATTGTCTTATGATAAAATCTTCTTATGATAAAGGATATATATCGGATCATTTTCTATGATTTTATTAAACATTTTACATAGTGAATAGTTAATTTATTTTAAATTTTTTTTATAGTTATCGCTCGGTTTCCAATGCCACTATTTCATGCGAAATTTTATTTTTTTCATATAATCATAATTAAAAAAAATGTGCTGGAGGGATAAGAATGTTACCGTGTTTCAGTGACTATTCTAAACGATATCAACGAACGAATCAAATACATTTGACGAAGAATCAGCAGAATGTAAAAGTCGAGATGTTTTTCTCAATGTCCAGCATCGATGGCCTATTTTTGGCCGACTCTGCTTTCTTTCTTCCTCGCAATTCTCGATATCCATTGAATTTTCTAGTGGAATAAGGCGTACCGCTCTAGCAAGAATCGGTGATGTCAAAATTGTGCTTGATGGAATTGCATGGCTCCATTCTTGACTGTATACATGTGTGAATGTGTATGCATGTATGTATGTATGTATGTGGATGTGCGCGTGCGTACACCCATACATATACACATGCTCGCACACACACATATGAGGATATATATGAATCCTCGGTTTTAAAGAAAACGAAAAAGTAATGGAAAAATGATGGAAATGACGAAAGGAAAGCAGAAAGTAAATTATACAAACGAGAAAAAATTACCGTGGCAGAGATTGAATGCTGAGCAAGTTAGTTAATACGGACAATGATTTTTCTTCTTTCATCGTTGTTTGTAATGCGATTACGTCGAATTCAGAACGTGGTGAAAACATCGAACGTATCGCCCGTAATTCCTGTTATTTGTAATTTCAACGCAAATTTCAAAAAAGTGATCGAATGATATAAAATTAGCTTGGTAATATCAACAATTACTTGCCTTTTGTCGTAACGAAGTAGCGTATTCGGATGGGCTCACATTTCCCTTTTGTTTTCGCCATGGTTTAACGCTGTACTTGAAATTTTTCGATGCCTGTATGTGGATAAATGTTAACAATGAAATTATGATATGACAATAAACTGTTAGCGATTGTTTAAAAGTTTAAAAAATGCGTCTCTTTTAATCATCAATTTCGAGGCAATATCTCGTTTTCCTCTTTCCTTTCTCATACCTGCTGTCTAGTTGCTTCTCCCCATCCGGTGCATCGTCCATGACGTGGACATATTCGATTTTCCTGCACGCTTTTCGATAATGAGGAATACGTATGTGCCATTATCCGATCAATTTCTAGCTATAGAAAAGAAAAAGTAAAAATGCAAGGACAATCCTCTAATTATGCATTATGAATTTTTCAAATGTAAAAGAAGGTATATGTTACAAAGGAAAACGAACTTTGACACGTTTTGTTCGTTTCCGCGCGCTGATTTGCGAGGATTGTCGAACTGTCCGATCGAGGACGGACTCGGGTTTCGAATGTCGTTGTATCTTCGGATCGCCGAACAAACCTTTTGATTCTGCCACTTTGATCATGAACAGCGAATCGAACTGCACCATTTCTTTTCGTTTTATTATCGCAAGAAAGCAGCCTGGATCCAACATATGGCTAGCGTTCTCCCCGTAAATCTCGTCAATGTTGCCCACTTCGAAAAGATCGCTGTCCGGAATCTTGTTTTAAGAGAAATTTCTTAGTTAGAAATTCCTGCAAGGAAGAATCGAGAAGAAAGCGTATAAACGTAAACGTATATGGATCTTACGGTAATGCTTGCAGAAAGTGTAGAGAGACGGTCATCTTTCCGCAGTTCATCGGTCACTTTAACCGATTTTGACGACTCCTTTGAAATCCTTTTCTTCATTAAAGAATAAAAACACATAGTAAAACATTGATTTCTGTTCTTCTTCTGACATTATTATTATTATTATTATTATTATTATTATGCAAACGAAATAGAAGAGAAAAGAGAATAAAATTATCGAGATGTAATACCGGATGTTCGCGAACGTATTTCTCCAATGCCATTTGATTGACGTAGTCTACCACCTCTTGAACCATCTCTGTTGTTTCTGACGGTAAAATCGTGTGTACCTCGTATACAACGAATTGTACATTTGGCCTGGTCAAAGCATATTTCAAAGTGGACATCTGATCAGCTAAGAAAGCACGCCGCTGTTCGTTATCGTTATAATTCTTTTCATCGTCATCGTCGTAAACGCTGCCAGCGTAGTCATCCGTCAATGATTCGAGAAGATCCACGTCTCCTCCTCGTGCCACTGCGAGGTCAACGATATCCCTGACCCCCGTATAGGTACATGATGGTACTGCAAGCACTACGGTGGCCCTCTCTGACTCGCTCGTTACTGGATGAGACACGTACCTAACGCAACGTAATTCATACATTCCTTAAAGGTTCTGTTTAGTCGAAAGTAACGAGTCTATAGATCGATGTACTGAAAATATTTAACACGAATTCATATGCAAGTGAAGAGAGAGAGATAGAGGAAGGGGGGAGGAGAGGAGAAGAGAGGAGAGGAGAGGAGAGGAGAGGAGAGAGAGAGAGAGAGAGAGAGAGAGATTAAAAGGATACTTTTCGGAAGAGATGAGACACCGTTGCAATGTGATGCCAAGGTCTTTCAGATAGGTCTCATACTCGCAATGACGATCGTCAGCTCCGAAGGCCAAAAGTTTACCAGCATGCTCGATATCGGCCAGCAATCCGGCCAGATATCCAGTGTGTCGAGGTGCAAGGGAATGTGTTAAAATGACCGGGCCGTAGAAGCGGCCGATACGAATTGCCTGTGCCAACGTTGCCGCTCCCAAACACAACGACCTTTCCTGTTCATTTCAACGAACCGTCATTAAGTAATGATTTTCATTCGATCTCGTTTCTTAGCTACCTACTAGGAATACGAAACGATGATCACGAACGAGAGTGGAAACAGCAAGTGTTTCCCGCATACTTTCATGAAAATAAACCATCTGTGGGCAAATCGGGTCGAACACGTACTCGTTCTCTTCAAATTCTATCGCTTTTTTGTTTTCGCGATAAATCAACTTCAATTTCGACATTTCTTCTAAAAATTCTTCTTTACTGACAAGTTTCATGGTATTTATCCATCCGGAAGCGATCGCAGTTTGTACGTCCCAAGTAATTCCTTCGATGATCCGCAAATGATTCGGCAACAATTCGTCTTGAAAATTTCGAATACGACATCGATAATAATTCAATTAGCTAAATAATTTGTCTGTATCGTAACGAAAAAGAAAAAAAAGAAATATTCACCAAGATTAAGAGCAGAACCACGGATACGAAGCCGTGAAATACTCGCGGCAAGATGAGTCTTCACTTCCAGAAGAGCATTGTCGATATTCGCCAATCCAGCAGCCTAACAAATACAATTTCAAAATGATTACACATAGAAAGATATAGAGATATGTAGATAAATAGATAGATAAACGGAGAGACAAATAGAGACATATTTAAAGTATAAAAAAGATGAAGAGGAAAGGTATGCAGGAAGAAAACGGGACGAAGAGAAAAAGAGTAGGAGAAGAAATGGAATGGTGAAATAAATTCTTACCTCGAAGATTTTTGCACGTTCTTCGCAAGTGGCAATCTCGGAACGTGGTCTTGCAAATTTTCTTCCTTGCATGTCGTACAGTAACAACCAAACGATCTTTTCTTGATCTTTAATCGCACTGTTATGTCGCCAAAATCCTATATCTTCCAAAGCACGAGTAAATATCCTTTTGTCTGAGTAACGTGCAAGTATAAAGAGAATACGATAAGAAGAAAATTTGAAAGCAAAAATTGTTAATATTCGTTGACTTACACCTAAGAACGTCATAGACGAGTCCAAAGACACGACGCATCTCCGCTTCGTCCGAGTAGACTGGAAAAGGCTTGACCTTTCGAAGAACATCCGCGGCCAACAAGATATCATGTGCACGCCAACCTGGTTGATCGCATGTTTCTATCATTGAACCGCTGATTCCAACCACGTTTGTCAACGATTCTCCCTTTGATTCTTCATTTTGATGTTTTCTAAATTCAGCTTTTAAACTGCATCCATATCTCTTTGGCTCCCATTGCCAATCATTCTTTCGTCCCACTTTCAACTTCGTTTCTGTTTCTGCTCCCGCTTCCAATCTAGTTTCATCGACCCTTCGATTTCATTATTACTTATAGACTAAGTAGTTAGAGGTATTTCTAAACTCTCATTATCGTCGAATTACAATCGCGTTCAGTCGAAATGCAACTTACTTACTTCTCCATTATTTATACCTTTCGTTTGTTTCTTCAACGATCGATACGCATTATCGACGATATTGAATAGAAACTGATTAATTCGTATCTTTCTAGCTTCAATCACACGGAACAATCGTAAACGTATCAAGATATCGATATAGAAAGAATTGCAGATGCATTAAAGCGCGACGCGTACACTTCATAGTCGAATTCAAAGTTTAAACACGTAAAACTATTAAAAGTTAATAAATGATTTGTAACCAGAAATATGTATACAGTTACTGCATACATATGTTATGTATATACGCCTTCGTATATATACACTTCGATATATCTTTTAGACAAGACAGTTAGATAAGTCCATATAGAATAGAACTTGAAAAATAAATCGTTACCTTCTTCCTACAAAGTCGATGTCACATACTCTTTGCAGCTCAACCAATCGGTAATAAACTCGATAACGCCAGTCTTCGTTACTTGGCAAAATCAAATCTTGCACGCTTTCGTTTCGTTCATCCTTGCAATGTTGGTTGCAATTTTGTCTCCAGCTTGTCAATAAGATACGACAAATTTTAGCGTATTCCTCGAGCATTCTTTTCTTTTTTATGTAAAAACGTTCAAGTTTATCGCAGTTTTCAACCATTTGTCTAGCCTTGTGTCATCACCGTCGTTTTTATTATTCGCACTGTGCGTCGAAACTTATCGTCTTCGTGAAAAAGGAATGACTAAATACGCCGAAAAATCCGTGTTTCGCTTTATTGCGTATATGTACGCATGGGTCGATACGCGCACCTTTGAAAAATGCATTATTATACGATATTTTGATTATACGAAAAATGAAAAACTCGATGATCGTAGCCAAAGAATGAAAAACATGTAAGGTAAGGTAACGCAAGAAAGAAATGTCGAAAAACAAAAGTTCTAACAACTCGTGTCGATGAACTTACAAAAAGATAACAAACTATAAATTGAAAAGGAGCAAGAAGCATGTAGATTCAGAATGTGACGAAAGGCAGAATACGTACGATACACGTCTCGTCTTCTTCCTTAGCAGCCGTTCTTTCGATTTTGTATAGATTGAGAGGAAAACAAAGCGATTACTACGAAAACGTGAATGCGCCGCAACCTCGCGTGTTCTGGCAATATCTTCCTCGGCATCACGTTTAACAGTTTACGCGAATATAAACGAAAATCGTGATTCGCAACGGACCGATCACGATAAGTCGACCTCCTAGAAAATTTTTCTTAGGCTGCTTCGTGTCTCTTCCGTGCATCATTCCATTTATTCGTCGCATGTTATACATATGTATGCACTGTATACAGATATAACTGAAGCGAATAAATGGAACGTTGAACAACGTGTTGTAAGTGGAACAATGGATATCGAAGTAGTACGTACTCGTTGGTACGGACAATTCTTTGCAAATTTTTAAAGTAAGTAATAATATTTCTTGCTTTTCTATGCAAAACAGGAAAAAGGAAGAAAAAATTAATAAGTAAAAAGTGGATACTATCCCAATCCATTTATCGTTTGTAGATTGCTCGTAATCGGTTAAATTTCGAAAGAGTGGCGTAAACTCGCATTATATTTATATGGTTCATTTTAAGTCTTGGTTGTTTTCATTTGCGTCTATTACGTATCGCTCTACGTATGATTAAATTAATATAAGATTCATACGCTATGATCTTTTCCCGCTTGGAAATTCTTGAGAACCGTTGCTCTTTGAAATGCTATTGTTCCCTTTTTCTTCATTAATATACTCAATGTTGTCGTTGTTGTCGTTGTTGTCCTCGTCGTCGTAGTTATCGTCGTCGTCGTCGTTGTTGTTGTTGTTGTTGTTGTTGTTGTTGTTGTTGTTGTTGTTGTTGTTGTTGTTGTTGTTGTTGTTGTTGTTGTTGTTGTTGTTGTTGTTGTTGTTGTTGTTGTTGTTGTTGTTGTTGTTGTTGTTGTTGTTGTTGTTGTTGTTGTTGTTGTTGTTGTTGTTGTTGTTGTTGTTGTTACTACCACTACTACTAATACTATTACTACTACCGTTACTGCTAGTACCATTTTTATTATTGCAATTTTTATTATTATTATTATTATTGTTATTATTGTTATTACATTACTTATCATTATCGATCGTTTGCAATAAAAGATAATAGGACATTGCCGTGTTCAAGACCTGTAAATATACGTAGAACGAATATGTATTGAAAATTATAAAATTACGTCGACTCGAATAACGAGAATGGTAAAAAGATTACCTGAGCAAAAAGATCCAATGAAACCTTCATTATATCGCACACCTTCAGAATAATCGGTCTTTGTGCTATCACTAACAAAAAACATCTCACGAGACTAATATTCTTGTCTTCGTACCAGTTGCTACAATAAACTTTGTAGCGCAAAAGCTCACTCTACAAGCAAAAAGAAAATTAAGAAAATTATTGGACAATTGTAAATCTGTTATCGAATATGGACATTTGTTTGCTTGTCGCGAATAATTTAAAATTACGAAATAAAAGAAACAAATACGCATGTATGTACATATATGTCTTACAAACCTCGGTAAGGATTACGTCCCCAGGCCAAGTATATAAAAACGTTTGTATTAATTTCATGAAAAAGTAACTGACGAACTGCACGATTTTACTGATGCTTATCTCACTTATCTATCAAACATATACAATTCGTTCATTGATTTTTCTACGCTAGGTAGATTCGTATACATTAGAGCAAAGTTTAATGAGAATCAGAGAAGAATAGAAGAATAGGATTTAAAATTGCTATCTATCGATTTGTTTAAACGAATTTAAGAATGATCAGCCAATATATTGTTCGCGAAATAAACATTTTTCAATCGTTTCTATCGAAACTCTCACCTGGAACAATTGAAATATTAAAGTACATATGCCAATTGCGTTTGTTACGGTTATCAATAAAATAATAGGTCCGTAAGCCTCTTGGATAATGTCACGGCATTTTAACAACAAAACATGCTTATCGACCCATTGTTGAAAGATTCGTTGACGATTTGCCTCGTAACCCTTGTTCCCCTTATTTTCTCCGCTACTTGAAAATATAGTCTCAAATTCGAAAGACAACAAACGTAACATCGTCGACATACGAAATATACAAAAGCCGTAAAATGAGTCTACACCAGTAGATACAGAGACTATGAACCAACCAATGTTCACCTCGAACAGATAATGTAATTTCCATATTAACGTTGAATTAATCGTCCAAGGATAAGTTCCAAGAAGAGGTAAAGGATATTGCACATTCATTGTATTATTTTTATCGTAAAGCGTCTTTATAATCAATGGTTTAAGTAGATAAATAATGGTAGTGATCGCCATTAGTATAGTTTGCATATAAATCAATCGATAAAATATTCGAAGGCAGGAAAAGGCCAGCGATTTTAAGCGTGCTTCACTTAATGCTTCTTCCAACAAGGAAGCAAGTACATCATCTACTTGTTGCAGTTTATTTTGATAGATGGAAAAGAAGCAAACCTGAGATACTGGAGATTACTTAATCATAAAATGTTAACAAAATGCCTGATTAAATGTTCATGTTTCGGCTAACAATAAGCTAAACCCCGTATCTTGAATACTTTTTTCTTTATAACATTCGAACTCATTGAATCGCATCGTTAAATAAGACATTAATTAATATGATATACGATATAATGGAAATTATAAGCATATAAAGAAGTTAATTCATTTACAATACAGATAAATTTACATACCTTTATGACCACATTTGATATGGTCGCAAAAACCATGAACGAAGCGGTAAGCAAACTAATATCCTTAATATTCTGCAGGCAAAAATTCCCTATGGTACAAAGTGAAATAGAACAAGAAAGTATCGACCAAAATAATATACATCGATAAATGATGTTTCGCTCCCTCATAATCGGATATATTCCACTAACAATGAGAAAACGTTTTACAAAATTCGCGTAATTTCGATATATTTGTAATTCTTCCGACATCGTTCAAACCAGAAAAATAATTCTGTCTGATTCAACGTATGAATATACGTGTATCAATTTCTAAGATAGCTCACATCTGAATAACGAACAGTAGGTATTATCTTTTCTACTCCGCTATTACATATCAATCGATCGCTTCGTAACAATGAATAACTTAGTTCTTTCAGTTAGTAAATTGCTTGAAATTGGTCAGATTCTTTCGCATTTAACTAAATTAAACGTTACGAAACTCCATATCTACCTCAAATATAGATGTATGTATTTACTAGCAAAAAAATTTAAGAATCATTTCGTTATGTACTTGTCCTTTAAGAAAACAAAAAATTAGTGAAAAAAGGAGAAGTAGTAAGCAGTTTTAAAAAGTTAAAATTTGTATATTTCTTTGAATCTCCACAAGAATGTACAAAATTTTTATAATTAATCGTTTAGTTTCAATAACAACTGCAATATAATAGCTGCTGTAATCTTGATTTAGTATTAGATTTTAAATGCATAGCAATAATCTTTTCCACTTCTTTTTCCACTTCCAATTTCCTTCTTGACTCAACATTTTATTAACGTCACATACAGAAAATCATTGATCGCATATTGATTACAAAAACTACTCTTTTTCATTAGTAATGTTAATCAATAACATTAATTAACTGTCATTAATCTTTTACATAATATTATAACTGCTTGTTTCTGAGTTATTTATTGTTTTAATTCATACCTTTATACTTCATGAACAAATTGTACAACACTCGTAGAGTTGATTTTAAGTCTAAATTCACAATATCTGTAAATAAAATGTAATTAATAGTAAATATTACTTCTTTTCAATATGTCATAGTTATTTAAGTTACAAAGAATGCAAACCTTCTGGACGTGCTTTGGGTTTTGGTAGACCAATATCTTGCATAATGTCAAATGCAAATGAAACATTATGTACTTTCTGATCATGTGTTTTAGGTGTTAAATGAAAACTACCTAAAGGTACAAAAAAGCCTTCAAGAAGTCCAAGTAAAAGTGTTAAAAAAACACCATCATGAAATTGAGTATCCAAATCTGTCACCTCCAAATGGACTTTACTTAAGTGTTTGTTGACAAAAGAAATCAATGACTACAAAATAACACTTAAATTATAATGCAAATCATGTATATAATATTTTGTAATTCAATCAAATAAACATACTTTTTTAACCACAGCCAATTTATCAGCAGGATGGTCAAAAAGACTATCAAAGGCATCTCGTTCACAGCGCATTCCCAAATCATCGTATGTAGATGTAATTTCTTCCCTAACGGTTCTGTGTATCAGTTGGCCATCTTTTTTACGTACAACTACTACCTGAGCGGCTACCCTTTCGGGCAATCTAACAGGTGCTCGAAACTGCCTTGCCAAACCAACCAACAAATGTAAAATAGCAACAATATTTTTCGAATGAACAGATTCTACATTCCACTTATAAGGAGGATAACGTCCTAATACTCGATTAGTGGTTGATAAAACAACTGCTAATTTCTGTTTTTGGCCTTCCTCAGATTGTGTTACTTCAGGTACATCCAATTTTTCTCCAGTCAACTTTTCTAAATTTAATAGAAACAATGTGTCTATTTAGGCTTTAAGTATTATAATCATTTTTTTAAATCTTTACTATTATAACATACCTAACAATTTCTGTAATACCTGCCCATCATACAGATCTTCAGCAATATCTTTTACAATAATTCGTTGATCAGCTAATTCATCATTAATCCATTCGATCAAAACAAATATTAATTCCTTCAACTTAGAATCTTCCAAAGATCTAGGTTCTATCATTGAACGTTCTTCATTTTCATCTAAAGCATATTCTTCTGGTGGCATCTCTGGATTGGCAGCAAATCCTGGTGAATCAATTGCATACTTACCCTCTTCTTGTACCTCTTGCACTACAACAAATTAAGTCTTAAATAAACATCCAAAATCAGAAATCGACTATAAAGAACAATGATTTTAAGGAAAAGATGTTAAACAATCAGTCATCAATATTATCACTAATCATTCTTTACAACTTGAAACAACAAACTAGTAGTACCATGTAAGGAAATACATTCCATAAATTGTTAGAAAAGAAGCACGAACATGGTTAACTTGACATAAGGTAATGTAAATATAATACAATACCTTCTTTGATACGTTTTTTCCGACCTAATGTGCCAATCTTGTCCCAAAAACTTTCCTCTTTTTCATCTTTCCTGGCCGATATAGGGAGTCGCGGAGATTTTGGACGAGGTGACGACATCGTTCAATACAAATGTTCATGAAAAATTATGTGTAGAATGTCATCTCTCAAAATACGAACTTCCGATCTCATTTTCAATAACGATACATACGTCATATATTTGAAAACTTTCTCAAACATTTATGTTGAAACAAATATTTTACGTATTTTTAATCTTTTTTTTGTCGCTGCATTAATTAAATTCTAAATTACCAACTTCTGTAATATTTAATTACTTTTGGAATTAAAGCCATTTCAAAAGATATACTCTTATATTGAGCCAAATAACATCCTATGGTACCTATGATTTAATGTGTATACTGTAATCTGAGATTTCTAAGTTAATTTCAAAATATATAAATTATTTCAGATTGTAGTAAAGAAACAAGAAATGTAATGATTATTGATAATTGTTAGGTATAGGAGAGATTAATTGACTAGTGTTCATACAAAAAATCATTTGCATCGAAATAAATCTTATAAATAGAATTAAACAAAAAAAAAATAACATTTAATTTTATAACATTGATTCTATAATATATTATAACAAAAGTTTTATGCATTCACCGTATAATTGAAAGAAATATATGGTATCAAACTATTTAGGGATTAAATGTTTTCACTTTATAAAGCGTGAAATATAATTTAAGGTTACTAAAAACGTATTGAGAAATAATTGTTAAAATGTTATCGTTAGTACGTAATCGTGAAACCAACAATATTATAATGACATTAAAAGTTATGAAATTTTCAAATTTTGTTGACAACACAACAGGTATTATGCCATACGTTTTGTATCATAATTATTTATTCAAACGTATCTTGTATGTTACTATCGTTTGTAGTTTATGTGCATTTATAATTATTTATTTTCCTTGTTATTTTCTTTTATAGAATTTCGAATATTAAAAATCTTACCATTTAATAAGAATAATATAAAGAAAAAACCAAACACAACAAATATACCACATTTAATACCTAAGATTCAAAAGATGTCATTTGATGAAGATTGGCAGGCACATTGGCCTACTGCACATACATTTGATCCTTACATTGTACCATTTCCTGTACGACAAGGATATCAAAATTCTAAAGGCATACATCCTAATAAATATGCAAATGCAGAGCTATTGAAAATTCCAAACTTTTTACATCTTACTCCACCTGCGGTTAAGAAACATTGTGAAGCATTAAAAAAATTTTGTACTAAATGGCCAAAAGAATTGGAAACGGATGAGACATGTGCAACATATTTTCCAGTTGAAATAATCACATCTGATTATTGTTATTCATCTCCAACAATAAGAGAACCTCTTGCTAGAATAGTGAGTTTAAGAGTAAAACTATCTTCTTTACATTTAGATGCTCATGCTAAAGATAAAATATTTAGATTATTAGGTGATAGATATAATTCTCAAACAGATGTAATAACAATAACTGCAGATAAATGTCCAGTTAGAAAACAAAATTTAGATTATGTAAAATACCTCCTAACTGCATTATATCACATATCTTGGGTAAGTTATTCAATACTTTAATAGTTCCCTTTTTAAAAATGTAACATAGTTGTTCAGAATATTGTACATTATTTTAGCGTGTTGAACCATGGGAGACAGAAAAATCTGAATTAGACATGGAATACTATGACTGGGATAAAAATAAAAGCAGAGAATCTTTAATATTTACCTACAAGTGGCCAAGAAAACCAACTGATTTTAACTATGATTACATTCCACATGCAACAGACTATAAGAAGGCAGTTACTGACTTACTAAATAAAGGAGAGAAAGATCAATCTTTGATCAACAACTACAAACAAGCTGTTAAAAATGTATTAAATTTGAAATATCATGAAAATATAGAATAATACTGATTATGATTTATCATATTTACTTCTAATTATAACATTAACTCTTATAAAACATTTACATATAGAAAGAAAAATAAAAACACAGATGGTATGATATAATTTGACAGAAAAAGACAAATTTCTTGAAAAAGGATAATATTAAATTGGAATTTTTCTAATATTTTTATCCCATTTATCATATACTATTATATTGAATTTGCTATAAATTATAGCAAAGTTACGATATTTATATGAAATTTCAAAATACAATGTACTATTGTTATTTATGAAATAAATAATAATGTATTCTACACATAAATTATACTAGTTATGCTTAATTCATATATATTTTATTTTGTTAGAATAGTATAAATGTAAATTCGTAATGTCGAATAAAGTAAATATAAAATAAATACATATAAATGCTTTGATGGAATAATGAAATAGCACAGTAGAAAAGATACTTAACCGAAAAAGTGTAAATATTACATGATACAAGTAATGACAAAATTAATTGAAAAAGGAAGATTATAAATATGAGTTTTTAATTTACAAACAAATTAACTGTTATAATGATAATGCACAGTTATCATTGGCTCATGTATACACGGTATAATGTATTTTTTAGAAGTTCATTCTTTAGCTCAAAGAGTATTTCTAGTTTTCTCAGTATTATTATGTTAATCATTAATATTATTCTATTTACAATTTATTGGACTTTAAAAAAGTGAACACTTACGACACATTTAAAAAGAAATTTTATAACTTATGAAACAAAACAGGGTCTGTAAATTAAAAATATAATAGTAAACCTAAATGTGTAGCATATATATTTTATTGCAAATCTATGCTAAGCATATGTTAAAGCATGAAAACTAGAAGTTAAACAATGTTTATTTGTCGATGTAACTTATTCCATTGCAATGTCTTACAAATGAATCTCTCTTTTAAGGATCTTCTTGACTATTGCACTATGGTACAAAATATAAAGAAAACGCTACCTTTGGACTAAATGTAATACTAGGATAAATATAAATCGACATTATTCTGTTTTTCTTTATGTTGGATCTGCATTTAATCTTTACATGATTCATGAAAATATTATTTGCAAACAATATAGAAGTAGAAATCATAAAGAAATTTAGTAAAGCAATACATTAAAAGATACATTCGCATTTTAATAATTTTGCTTAACTAATATAACCTTGTGTATTTTGTAATTATTATATCCCTGATTATAAAATCATTTTTATACAATACTTTTATACGATAACGTTGTTTTACACTAAAAAATTTTTTATTTATATGTTTTAATAGAAATATAAAATATTTATCCAATTCACTGGACATTATCTTTCTGATTCCAACATAAATAGTTACATACATAACAAATACATACACATTTATCACTAAACTATATTTTGTATCAATACTGTTACTACCATGGAACTCGCGATGAAGGCAAAGCTGGTGTGAATCTGCAACAAATCAAACATATTGAAATTAGAATCACTAAAATATTAAATTTAAAACCATTAATATTAAAGGATTTTAACTTTCATTTTATCATTTTTGTGAAACAGCATTAGTCATTGCATTATCATTTATCAAAGTTCATACTTACTTTTGTTTACCATTTGGCTTTTGATATGGATGTGTTGTCATTAATGCTCTTCTTTCTTTCTCCCTTACCAGTTTCAAGCTTCCATCTGATAGATCCATATCAAGATTGTCTTTTTTGAGTTTATCTGCTTTCAATTTATTTAGTATGGCTATACTTTTAGAACTCATTGTTATATGTGATTTTTGTGTATGTTTCTTATTTTCTTTATCTTTGGTTCCTATTGTACACAGCGTACCACCATTACATTTTGGGGATACCTTCTTTGCTTGTTTAACAGGCGTCTTTATTACATTTACATTATTTTTGTCTGAGAGAACACGCTTCTTAACATTTTCTTGTATACAATTTACATTATCGTATTTTTCTTGGGTACTTCGCGTTATGTCTTTTATATCATTCTTACAATTTATATTTGAATTCCCTTGTAATGTAATAGTTATGTTATGTGCATCGAACACTTTCTCTGTATCTGAACATGATGCATCGAAAGTTGCATTTAATACATCTTTAGTACAATTATTTTGGTTTTGAGCATCCAGAGAATTGAACACATATATAGGTATTTTATTATTAAGGGGATCTTTCAAATGAGTCACACTAAGACATGTCAAGCTATAAAAGCGTTCCTCGTGATTGATTGTTTCCATATCTGACCATTTGATATTTCTTACTCCTTCCAATAACTTAATTAACTGTTTAAATTCTTCTTTCATCGTGTCAGTCATTGTTCCATATCCTCTCATCATGTTATAATAATTTTGTAATGTTGTACTCATCATTTTAATCATTGAATTATGAGACTCTATTTCACATTGTTGAAGATTACTTACTTTTTTCGCATGTTCATATTGCTGTTGTAATCTAGACCTTTCTATTTCACAAGTTCGTAGTGCAATTGTATCTTTCAATTTTTCAAATTTCTTTAACTTCATTTCTGTATTCAGTTTTTGTATTTCTGTCTCTATTAGGCACAATTCTTCCCAAATTGTTTCCATCTGTATTTTCAGGGAATCTCTTTGCCGTTCAAAGTAATGTAATGATTTATTGACCCTTGACTTGCCACTTGCATTTTGCTCTTCAAGTGTCAAAGTATCAACAGCTGCTGTTAGATTATGTAATCTTTCATCTGCTGCTTTTTTATATTGAATTCTACAACATAATATTTTGTCTGCACTTTCCAATGAAAGAACCTTTTCATTTAGAACCTTCTTTTTTTGAAGTAATTCAATCAATTTATTGCTGTTAGTTAGTGCATGATTATCTACTTCTTCATTAACATTGCTATCTTCATGCTCTGATAATATATGTGGTAATCTATTTTCAAATGTCAATAACTTTTGTTTTAAATAATTTATTTCTTTTTTTTGTTCTTCAACCATTTTTATATATGCAGTTACATGCATTTCACAGGATAAAATATTTTTCTTTATATGAGTTTTTATCTTCTTTGCTCTATTTGCATACCTTAATGTATTATATGTGTCTTCATAACTAAAGCTAGAAGATGCAATGTTAGCTATCATAACAGTTTGACAATTTCCACCTAATGAGTCTTTTAAGAGACGAGTCAATTTAGAATCCCTATATGTTATATGTTTTGCACCATCTGCCAACTTATTAATGCAATTGCCTAGAGCCAATAAAGATTTATTAATATTTGCCCCTTCTTTAAATCTTGCTCCTTTACAACCTGTGGCAGAAGCTCTTTCAGATCCAGCTAAATCAATCATAGACAGTTTAACTTGTCGTACTTGACCATCTAATTTATTAGTGATATTAATATAAACTTGAAAAACAGCATGACTTCTACTACTTTCCTCATTTGCATCAGTAGGATGTTGAGTACGATTTTTATTACCCTTTGCTAACAGTGTTAGTAACTCATCAGCACTTTGAATAGTAATTATTTTAAGGCCAGCAACAATTATCCCACATCTACCATCGTCTCTTAAATGTAAAGGTCCAGATTTATGTAAAAGGTCTTGTACATTTTCATTATAAATTTCTAAATATGTTACACCTAAATTAAATTCACGATGTTCACCCTGTCTCTCTATTTGAGAAAATAATTCTGCTACTGTCCTATATGTAATACCAGGATCTTCACTATTACCGAGCATAGTATGAGTTTTACCAGCACCAGTGGCCCCATATGCAAATACGGAACAGTTATAACCATCCAAAAGATTGCAGATTAAATCTTTAGTACTTCCTTCAAATACATCACAATTATTTGACGACATATCAAATATTTTGTCAAAGATAAATTGCAGTTCTTTATTTTGTTTCTTAAGCAAGTCACGACCTTTTTGAGCAACACCATGATAAAAAAATAGATTTTCCTCTTGCTTAGGATCAAAAATTAACATTTTATCATCAACGATTTTTATAATAGTTCTACAACTGCCTTGAAGTTCATGATCATTTTGCGGTCGTACTCTTACAATTACCTTGATACTCGTCTGTGAACCAGACTCAATTTGTGTCAATGAAGTTGTATTTTCATTTGTACTCGGCTTCGTTCCATTACTCGAAAGTCGTTTTTTCGTTAACTTTTTAACTTTATTTGGCGAAAATGCTTTCGCCAAGTCTCTCTTATTAAACACCATAGCAAATTCTATCAATTTAAATACAAACATCCATCACCAACCGTTGAGAGTATATTAAATTTTGAAATTTAAATTGTTGCATCCTGAAGTATCTTCAAAGCCACTTTCGACAATACTAAATATATTTATAGTGATATTATAGGGAATTTATTCAGACAAAACCTAACTTTAAGCATGGACATGGATTTAAATTAATATACATATAGGACTCTGAAATATAATTAAATAATAACATCACAATTTATTTCAAACATGAACCTAAACGCGAAGCAAAGCCATTAGAGAACATATTTCCTTAATTTCATGTTGTTACAAAAGAACTTGTAGATGAACAATTTGTATGTGCAACAATCATCGTTGTTGATATCATCGTTATCAATTCAAGAAAATTTCTCAGAGTATTATCATTAGTTATATTGTAAGGATGACGGCAAAATAATTTTATAAATATTTTTATTTTTATCTTATATTTGTTATATTATGCTTAAATTCAAAAGTTCTTTTTTTTTTCTTTTGGTACTCAATGTTATTTTTCCAATTGTATATCAAATTCTTCATTTGTCATCAGAGTGCTTTTCTAATAATAAAATTTTGAATCATTTCAAATAAAATAAGGTGTATTTTCTTTGTTAATTATTTATGTATAGTCCCTATTACTAACTTGTTCACTATGTTCTTTTTAATTTCACTCTGTACCTATGGCACAAGTTACTTTAAATTAATCGAAACTAATTGCATAAGAAAGAAAATGAAGAATTAAATACTCATTTATTATTTCTCTTTAAGTACTAGTATATTATAATAAATGAAATTATAATTGACTGTTGTGTAAATTATTTTGTATTTATTAAATTCAGAATATGTTGAAAACATTTACGCGTGCAAATTATTTTTCAGTATCATAACAGCAAAAACAAAAGATAAAGAAAAGTAAAAGATTAAGTACGTTTCATATTTTGCAAGAATTTGTAATTTAGAAGATAATAGAAAAAGATTATCTATTCCACTTAGGTGTTAAGTATCATATATTACAAATTTGATATCTTCGTTACTAAATTAATATTTCTAAGAACTGAAATTAATATAATACAGTATATATAGATTTTTATTAACTACTGAGTTTTATATATAAAATATATACACGTACCCACAAATACATATATACACATCATATTGTACATGATACCATACAGCAATTATTCTTAGAAAGCACTGAAAAAGATAGATGCTAACATAACCTATAAGTCAAACAAAATGTACTGCAAGTATAAAAGCACGAAAACGTGCTAGTACAAATATACTGCAAGATCGCAGAAATAGGATGGTTTTACAAAACGTTAGTAGTAATTTAATTAAAAGCGTTAGCAATGTATGTATTAGACAAAATGAATGGACTAACAATAAATGTGCTCAAAGATTATACATGGCATTGCCACGGCTCACACCACAGGAGGTAATAAAAATTCATCAAATTAACTTTTAAAATTTGGTCAAGCTTATCAATAATTACATTACAGGTTACAGCAGTTTTACAAGCTAATGAATATACCAAAGAATTTGATGATCAAAACTCTATAAAATACTATGATTCAAATCAGTTAGCCTCCAATAATCCTATTGAAGATACTCGATCAGAGGCCCAATGTTTACTTACAAAAGGTAGAAAAACTTTATAAAACATTGATAAAGTAATCTATCTATAAAATATTCAGTATACGTTTATATTTTTTTCGAGACATGTTCAATCTTATTTTATGTACAACAAAAGCACAAATTTATTTTAGGAATATTATTAGGTGTATTTGATGGTCATGGAGGTGGTACATGTGCACAAATCATTTCAAAGAGACTTTTTCATTATATATCAGCATGTTTATTACCTACAAAGTTATTAAAACAATATCTCAACTCACTTAACTCCAACAATAAATTAGAACTTCTTCAAATATTCAATGATAAAGTGGAGTTTATTTCTGAAATTAGAAATCTTTATGAAGCAAGTTTTTTAAATTTTGTCAAAGATTTAGTAGAAATGGAATGTACAAAAGAATTTCAAATGGAAACAACTTTAGAGAATGCATTTCTCAGATTAGATAATGACTTGTCGAACGAAGCACTTTTAAATTTAGGTAAGAGCAGTACTGCTACAACTCTTGCTGTTGCAATGTCCGGTGCTGTAGCAGCTGTTGCACATATAGATGGTCCGCATCTTCATGTCACTGGAGTAGGTGATTGTCAAGCAGTACTTGGCATACTTTCTGGTATGATTTGTAGTTGTCAAGTTTCTTGTAATTGCATAAAAACATTAACTGTGCACAGTTTCGTTATTATCATAATTATTTTTTTTATCATTATCATTATTATCAATATTATTATTTTGGTTTGTAGAAGATGATGATTGGTCTGCAAAATTAATGACAGTTGAGCACAATACCGATAATCGTGCAGAAGTTGAAAGAATTCTCTCGGAGCATCCGTCAAATGAAAAATCAACTGTAATTAAAATGGAACGATTACTTGGACAATTAGCGCCTCTTCGTTCGTTGGGTGATTTTCGTTACAAATGGAATAAAAAAATCTTGAAGGAAGTAGTGGTACCATATTTTGGTGAAACAGCAATTCCACCAAATTATCATACTCCTCCATACTTAACAGCAAAACCAGAAGTTAAATACCATAGGCTAACACCTAGAGATAAATTTCTTATAATAGCTAGTGATGGTTTATGGGATTTAATGTCACCGCTACAAGCTGTACGTTTAGTGGGTGAGCACATGAGCGGAAAAGTAACATTGAGCCCATTAAGACTGCCTCGTAAAAATATGAAATTGTCGGAAATAAATAAAATGTTGTTGCAGCGTAAAGAGGGCTTGAAAAAGAAACCTCTTGATAGTAATGCAGCGACACACTTATTGAGAAACGCACTCGGTGGTACTGAATATGGTATAGATCATGTTAAATTATCACAATTATTAACACTACCAAAAGAAGTAGTACGAATATTTCGTGATGATATTACAATAACGGTTGCGTATATGAACTCTGAATTTTTAAGACACTGCCCTCCGTGAATCTATAGAGAAATCTTTTGTTAACATTTATAAAATATTTCACGTTTTTCATTATTTCTAAGTATTTTGAAAAAATGATCATTCATATATCGTGTACAGCTTGTTATTTATTTAATTAACAATAAAAACAATTTACATGGAAAGGATATTTTGCTTATTTGAAATACGTACACATATCTCACATACTACATATAATCGCGTTCACTTAATTTAGTGGATTATTTAAATCGATTATCCATAATTTTTACTTATCAGGAAAAATAAACATAAATGTCATAGACAATGTGTCATTAATGTCTAAGCAAGATTAAAATTATAAAACATACAAATAAATTGCTAATCTATAATCATAAACATTGTTCGAGATACTCATTAATCCTATATATTGTACAAGTATTTGTTAGGTACAAGTATCACGATAATTATATAAGTTAAAAACGCGTAAAATTCGTTATATATTATGTTATGAACCGCAGCATTTCAATTTTTTCTTGCGCTTCTGGATAAAAAATAGTCTATTGTTTTCTTTATCAACTTAAATTTAACAAATTTTCATCACAAAATATATATTATTTATTCTGTGATTTTTATTTTCATTCTGAAACACAGTGTAAATAAGCATTAAGCTTGCAATGTTGCCATATCTGTAGTATACTGACTTGAAAGAGGAAAAAAAGCCATGAAAATGAAAGTCTGAGTGAATTTTTTTTTCGTATGAATACTACATATAGCAGTGTTGGTAATTGAACAACATATGAGACAAGTACGTGTATAAACGAAAAATATTTTTGGAAGTATATAGCAATTTCATTACAAAAATTTGAGTATCAACCTTCTTGACCAAAATCTTCTTTAAATTTTTCTAACTTTGTCATATCATCTTCGTTCACTGTGGGTCGTGTAGTCGCTAATGATTTCAACATATCTTTCTGAATAGGAAAAACAAATTAAATATTATAATGAATTTAACTAGAATAAGATAAAATTGTAATAAGTGAATAAATATAAAAAAAAATCTATATTTACCATAGTTACAGGTGGTTCATACAATTTGTCACCCTCAACTTCCATCCAGTTCATTTCGATAGCAGCTGGATCTCCCGGTGAACATGGGGTTAATAAATCATCCACAATGATAGAAGGATCTTTTGGTGATGGTCCTCTTACACGTTTAAAATGCGTTGCAGTTTGAACTTGTCTAACTGGTTGCATAAGAGCATCTCGTACAATAATACTTATATCAGCTCCAGAATAACCATCAGTGGCAGCTGCTAATTTTTTAAAGTCCTCCTCTGTTAGACAGTGAGAAGTGCTTCCTAAATGAAGTTTAAACATTATAACGCGAGCTTGTTCATCAGGTAAGGGAATGTAAATCCTTTTTTCAAATCTTCTTCTAATAGCAGAGTCTAATACCCATGGTATATTAGTAGCTCCCAGTACTAGTATACCATCATTGTCTGATCCAACACCTAATGCATCAATTTAGTACATATTATATATGTATATGTACAAGTATTCATACATGCGTACAAAGAAACTATGTTAAATAAATTAACACATTACTTGAGTATCACCCTTACCTTGCATCTGAACTAGAAATTCAGTTTTTATTCTTCTCGCAGATTCTGATTCATTATCAGAACGTGACGAGCATAGTGAATCTACCTCATCAATAAATATGATACTAGGTTTATGCTGACGAGCTAATTCAAACAAATTTTTGACAAGTTTTTCCGACTCCCCAAGCCATTTGCTTACCAAATCTGAAGATGATACAGAAAAGAATGTTGAATTATTGGCCTCTGTTGCAACAGCCTTTGCTAGATAAGATTTACCAGTGCCTGGTGGCTGAAAATATTTTGAAATTGCTTAAAAAATACTTTAGCAAAATAACTAAAGTCTTTTAGTCAAAAGTTACCCCAAATAATAAGATACCCTTCCATGGTATCCGCTTCCCTGTAAAGAGATGGGGAAAACGTATTGGTAAAATAACAGCTTCTTTTAAAGCTTCCTTAGCTCCATCAAGACCAGCAACATCGCTCCATTTGACATCTGGCTTTTCAATAATTATTGCACCTTCTAATTTACTTTGAAGTTTTTTCTTTTCTGGATCACTATCTGTATCACTGTCTCCACTGTCACTTTTCTTATCTTCAGTCTTAGAATTATCTTCACCTGCTTTCACAGGTTTCTTCTTACTTTTCTTCAAATAGGCTTTCAATTTTTCAGCTCTTTCTAAATATTGAGTACATTTTGCTCTTATACTTTCCTTAGCTCTATCGCCTTGTGCTTCATCTAAACAAATATTAATAATAGTACACTTTAAAAATAATTCTTATAATAAAATTATTATAAGTGAAAAATATATTATGAAAGAAACTTGATAATATTCATACATTTAATAGAATGTAAGAAACATTCAACAGCATATTCGTACAACCTAAGAGCTTCCTCATAATTTTTGTTACGATCTTCTTCAGTAGCTCTGGTAACTAGATCTATAGCTTTCTATAAAATAAAAATACATTTATAATTGTAGCTACTAGTTTAGTAATAATAGAAGCAATAAAAAGATCATGTTTAAATAACTTACCTGCAATATTGTACCTGAAGCCATTATATTACTTTAAATTGTACCTAACCTTTATTTTATTCTAAAATTATAGAATATTTATACGGTAGTTCACCGTCACGATGAGACGCAGCGTCTCAAAAGAATAAAAAGAAACGGCGATCGGGACGGCGATCTACCGCATCAATAAGATATTCTATTTTCCTCAACTTTAATCAATGTTAAAACTCCAACTTTTCAGTCGTTTGATAACCTTCAAAATTCGGTTGTCTGACGTCACCGTTTGACATATCACATATCTCACTAATACATTTTTAAAGTAATGCTTGAAAGTATTATATATATATCTTTTGTCGCGTTCTTAATGATGTATAGTGTTAAATAATGTCTCGTTCACAAAATATTCTCTCAAATCAGTCGAATGAATACTTGTACATAAAACATGATACATAAACAATAAAATAAAAGAAGTAACTTTGATATCTTAATTAATATATATACATACATTCACACACAAATAAGAAGGATTTGTGTATCTTTTCAAATGAATTATGACATTAATTTAGATGAAACATTGTAGATAAAAGTTTGATAAACGATAAATATAGATTGAAAATAAACAAATACTTGACTTCTATTGTTCTAAAGTGAATGTTTTAATTGATCATTAGGGACTATGAAAATGAAACAAGAAATTATTGAAATCAATTATCGAGTTTATTGTCATGATTCTTACGTTCATGGAAAGTACGGTATAATTCATATGTATGAATATAATCACAGAATAACAGTGAGAAAATAAACGATGAATATGCGGCTTATGGATGAAAACGCATGTGCAACAGCTACCTGTCTACGAAGCACTGAGTCCGAAGAGATAAAAACCTCGGAGGTACCGAGAACTACCGATGGATCTTTTTCTGTGTTTATACCTATTACTTATTTTTGTTTCAACATTCGTGTTGGCCTAAATCTTTAGTCCAAAAGTTAACTGTATTCTATTCTAACCTAACAAAATACCGACATACGAAAAATGCGTGCCGCGACCATATGATAGAAACAGTAATCGAAACTAAGAAACTTGGATCATCGTTATATAGTAGTTTTACAATAAGGAAGCCACTGAGGAGAAACGTTTGATCTAAGTATGAATTGTTTGTTCAACTTTAACATTCTACATTATTCCTTTGTCTTTCGTAACAATCTTATGAAAATTAAGGGTGTGGCTAACCGGTCCTTCCTTTTATTATTCTAGGCTATGTTCCGAATCTAACTTGGTTTTAGAATTTGTCTAAGGTTAGGAGTTTTGCATATTTTGGAAAATTATTTTTTTCTTCATATAATTGATAGTAAAACATTTTCCGTACCTTTTTTTCTTTTCTCTTAAATTTTTATTTAAATTTTAAAACCTTGTAGAAAAACTTCAAATATTAAACTATTCTTTTTCATAAGTTCTTTAATTTATAATTCTTCTTTTCTTAATGATATTTCCGTATTTTTGCTAATTTACATCTATTTGTACAAAGGAGTTGATAAAATATGAATTATAGCTCAAAATATATCTGAAACAATAATTTCTTATTTCAACCAAATAACAGGTCATAATGGTTTAAATGAAAATACTTTACGTAATTTTTTATGCATGTATTATTTAAAAAAATATATAATTTATTGTAACAAATAAATTAGTTTAATGAGAATGCAAATTCTTAAAATTTTAAACTTTGCACATAACCTTTTCATAAATGTTTATATCATATATAATAAAATAGAAATAATAAAATTAATTCTGCTAAGGAAAAGATTAAACAAATTTTTTTTGTATATCCAGGTAATACAATATATATCAGACATAAGCCAGTGATGTCTGTCCCTTCTTCGTCGTCTAATAAAATAACTGATAATAAAACAGGTGGTACAAGTCCAAGTCCTATAGAGGGCATTGAAGGTGTTCCAGGACCTAGTTCTTTAGAACCTATGCATTCTCTGTTAGCACAAGATGAAGAATCAGAAGATTATGGGGAAGATGGTGAAGAGGAAGAGGAGGATGACACTAGTGAAGAAGAAAGTGAAGTTAGTTTTATTTTTGTACGAGTTGTTATGTTAAAAATAATTTACATGTTAATACAGCCAGATTAATTTAATTTCAGATCAGTGATACTGGAATATTTTGTGATGCAGAATGTGAACCTGATCTTGAAAGTAACAACTGTTCGCTGTCATCATCACAGCCACAGTCACTTACACAACGAGTACACAGCCCCATTTTACATACTTGTGTACCTTTGGATGTTGTTCAACCACAAAGGAAACGTAAAAGTGATACTGAATCGAGTTTACCTTGTAAAAAGCTTAACCCAGAGGATAAATCCCATTCGATGTAAGTCTAATTGAAGAAAAATTATTAAGGAAAGGAATTTGATTTATAGGAAGGAAGCTTTGAGATATTTTATAATGTAAAAGTACTTTTATTTGTAGGATTGTTAAGAAGTTGGATGATAAAAATAAACATATGAGATGTGTTATCCCAACAAAAGATAATCCTCCACCAGAAATGAGTAATTGGCTTCTTCAGTTTCAGGTATAATAAACTTAAATTATTTCATTGAGAAAGTTCTTTTATTTTTCAAATGATATAAATACTAAAGACATTGCTCTAATTTTAGAGATGGTCAAATGCAGAAAGAATGTTAGCTATAGATGAATTAATTGAACGGTGTGAACCAACCCAAGTACGACATATGATGCAGGTTATTGAACCTCAATTTCAAAGAGACTTTATATCATTGTTGCCAAAAGAATTGGCTTTGTCGGTGTTAGCTTTCCTAGAACCCAGGGATCTTTTACGAGCCGCGCAAACATGCCGTAATTGGCGATTTCTCGCTGACGATAATTTGTTGTGGAAAGAGAAATGCAGAGCAGCTGGTATAGAAGATTTAAAAGACTTGCCTCCAATCAAACGTAAGAATTGTAGAAATTCCAATAATTGTTCGTCCCCATGGAAACAAGCGTACATGAGACAACACAACATAAAGATGAATTGGAGGACGAAACCGATTCGTACGCCCAAAGTTCTAAAAGGACATGATGATCATGTTATTACGTGTCTTCAGTTTTCTGGTAATCGGATAGTAAGCGGCTCCGATGACAATACTCTTAAAGTATGGTCTGCCGTTACAGGCAAAGTAAGGAAAAAATTGTTGTAATTGTAGAAATGATTTATATTATGAAATTATAGTTTTCCTTCTTATACATCTTCATCTTTTACATTTCAACATTTTTTTTTTTTTACAGTGTTTAAGAACATTAGTTGGACATACTGGTGGTGTATGGTCCTCACAAATGTCTGGTACTACAGTAATTAGTGGTAGTACAGATCGTACTTTGAAAGTATGGAATGCTGAAACTGGTCAGTGTATTCATACTTTATATGGACATACATCAACAGTGAGGTGTATGCATCTACATGGTAATAAAGTAGTCAGTGGTAGTAGAGATGCAACTTTAAGGGTATGGCAAGTGGATACTGGCGAATGTTTACATGTACTTGTGGGCCATTTGGCAGCTGTTAGATGTGTGCAATATGATGGAAAATTAGTGGTCAGTGGTGCTTACGATTATATGGTTAAGGTTTGGAATCCGGAACGCGAGGAGTGCCTTCATACTTTACAAGGACATACAAATCGTGTTTATTCTCTCCAAGTAAGCGTTAATCAAATTTGTATACAAATATGCACATAATAATGGTATATACGTGTGCCCCTCTTCGTATATACTCATGAATATACACATATAAACACAAAACAAATATTATATAATTTATCATTTTTTTCAAACTAATGCTATTTGTGATTGGAGTAGTTTCTTTTTCTAAAGAGATTTTGTTTTTTACTTTTATACTGTCGTTTCATTAGATAAAAACTTTCTAAATTCTCTATTCTCTATTCAAAAGTTTTAGAAGACATATCCTAGATAGTATGAAATTTATTTATACATAAGTAATATATCAAGAAATATTAATGCTGGTTTTTCTTTCTCCTTATCAGTTTGATGGTGTACATGTTGTTAGCGGCTCTCTGGATACAAGTATAAGAGTATGGGAGGTCGAAACTGGTGCATGTAGACATACATTAATGGGACATCAGTCTCTTACATCAGGAATGGAACTACGTAATAATATCTTAGTATCTGGAAATGCAGATTCAACTGTTAAAGTATGGGATATTGTTAGTGGTCACTGCCTTCAAACTTTATCTGGTCCAAATAAGCATCAGTCTGCTGTCACCTGCCTTCAATTTAACAGTCATTTTGTAATTACTTCATCCGATGATGGTACAGTTAAACTGTGGGATGTTAAAACTGGTGCGTGTGCCTTTTTTGCTGCTGATGTTTTTCTTTCCTTTTTATTTTCTAAATTAATTTTTTAATGAACTCCTAAAGTTTTCGTCATGTGTTTAGGTGATTTTATAAGAAACTTGGTTGCTCTCGAAAGCGGCGGAAGTGGTGGTGTTGTGTGGAGAATACGTGCAAGTGATACAAAACTGGTGTGTGCAGTGGGTAGTCGTAACGGCACAGAAGAGACCAAACTGCTTGTTCTCGACTTTGATGTAGAGGTAAAATAGTGCACTTTTCTGTGGACAAAACTGCCCTCTCCTATGACCTCTGTACATACTCTGATTAGGTAGCGTAACCAATCTATTGTACAATGATTCATGTATTACGTGGTGTGATTGTGATAAGAATGTATGTCGAAAATTTTACGAGAGATCGCAAAAAGTTAGACGGTGAATCGGTAGTTATTACAAATGATCTCCAAAGTGGTAGACCATTTAAACTGAAGGCATTAATTATATTAATTATGGAGTGTAATCGTGGTGTACAAATATGAGATTTCAAAGACTCAACAAATTATGGAGAACGAGGAGCTTATAAGTGTATTACTGTATTACTGCTGTTATAAAATTTAAAAGAAATCGCTAGTAATTTAAATGAAAGATAGCCCACCATGAACATTATCTCCACATAACGATTTTTATGGGCGTTTAGGAAAGTATTTTTAAATTACAGAAAAGAAAAGATTTCGTACCATATTTGTCAAGCTTATAGATGAAAATATTGCTTAAAGAATCTCACATTTTGAAAAAAAATTTAAAAAAAAAATAAAAAAAAATTTAAAAAAAGGTAAAAAGAATTAAAATTAATAATAAATTCGGATATGAAAACAAAAAAGGGAAGGAAATGACCATATTGGTAAAAATATTCTTTGTAAAATAAGTACTTTGCTATACTTTGTATGGCTTATTTAAATTTTTCATTTATGTTAATTAAATTAATTATTATGGGAATTGTGCATAATTTATTGGATGATATAATCAATGTTTAATGACTTTTTAACAAAAGAAATGCTATTGCTTTTCATCCATTTTGTTTCATTTACATCAATTTTTATTGTATCATCTAAATTGTTCATGCACAGATATTCATACGAAATCATACAATTATATAACTCATAAATAATTTTTGTTTAAAGATATGTTTTGGAGGAACTATAGCGATTTCTAGCACTTTATTGACATTAATGTTACATTATATTGCATTGGAACTTGGACCATTTTTTTTATATTGCTCGTTAATCAGAATATTAATGAACGTGTTACGTAGAGGAAACAAATATTCACGTTATTGTTTCAAACATACAAGAAAATTTCATTAACTTCACTATTTCTTTATATCTACTAATTTATAACATATATATACAACTATATACATTCATCATAATCATTTACATTATATACATCATAAAGGGTCCTTAAATTGTATAGTTGAATAGAAATTTTTAAAAATATGAAATAATATTTTTTATTATGAGTTCTATTATTTTGTTATAAATACAGTTACATGTTACAATTGCATGTACAACTGTATGTTTCAAGAGGAGAATAATGTATAAATAGTACATGCAAAATCAAATTATATACAGAAAGTTTTATTAGAAATTCTTAATTTGTCTATATTATATAACAATATAGACATTTCATTATTTTTATAAGCATTCAATAAATATAAAGAAAAATAATAAATTATGATATGATAACATAAATTACATTATGATTAGAGATATGATAAATTATGAAAAATGATTATATAAATGTAATTGTACAAGAAACATACACCTCTATAGCTTTTTATTATCAAATACTTGTGAATATAGTATTTGATTAATATTCTATGCGTAACACGTTCAAAAATCATTCACTATTTATTGTTCATTGATTAGACAACCAGGGTTAACTGAATATTCGTGATAGTAATTTAATTGGATTGTCTATATTTAAATAAAATGTATTAATTTTGACATTAGTAACAAGTCTGGTTTTGCCATGGTGCAATAATAAGAGTTGCAAATCTATCCTGTGCAATATGCACGAATCAACTGAACAATATAGACTCAGTTATCATGTGTGAATAAACACAAATAAGTTACAAATTTGTCTGAAGTTACAAATATTAATAAATTTGTAATAAGTTATAAATTTACAGATTTTTATAGTAAATTAGTTTTTTATACAGTCTCTGTCATAGAAATTACATAAGCTATATAAACAGTTCTTTCTAATCGACAATAAATCTTGTAAATTCAATTGTCAATGTAAAACACGATTCGTGTAAATGCAATTTTTATTATTGAACCTAGGATATTTTAAGGATCGTGTTTTTATTTGTATATTGCTCAATAGTTTATATTTGTAATGATGTGTTATCTGTTGTATCATTTTTTATAAGAAATAGAAAATGTTGCTGCATTTTAAGTCTTGTGTTATTCACCTTATATTTTACTATTTCCAATCTTTATATAAATGTACTATGTTTCAATAACAATAAGCAAAGTACATTCCAAACAAGAAACATGTATTGTTTGGTTTCTTTTTTGTACGTATTTTTTTTGAATACAGTATAATCCTCCACATCTGCATTGATACTTTAATGTGTCTTCATTGTTATCCATTGTTTCTAACTCATTAACTGATATTTTTGCATATATTAAGACATCTTCTGAATTTAACTCTTCTTGCTCCTGTATAATATCGTACTCTTTTTTCAACTTAGGATCACTCAGAACATGCCAAGCTTTCAAAATATGCTGAAACTTTGTACAACCAAACCCTGACATATTTTTATCTGGATGAAACTTTAAAGCTAATGCATGATATGCATGTTTTATGTCTTCAATTGTTGATTCCTTAGTACAACCAAGTATATCATAGTAATTCATTGAACTCATTATTTCGTAATATCATATGCATAGGATGTTACTATTACTGGAAACGATCAATTATAGAGAATAAAATTAAATAGGTTATATAACCTAACAAATATCAGATTTGTTATTTTCATAGATGTAATCACTTATTTGCATATTCACATATAAGTAAAGTTGACTACACGATTAATAGAGTAATTGCAGTACATAAACACATTATTGTAAGTAATAAACTTATTATTATATTATATCACTTCTTTTTAAAGAAAAAATCTTAAATAAGATCTTCTTACTTTCACTTAGTATTACCAACAACGTTATTACGAAATGTTTGCAAGCGTAGTGAATTTGACGTCACTGATTTATGATGTAAAAAGCATTGTTTGACTGTATAAGAACTGACAATGAATACGAATGTGTTTTCTTCTAAGATACTATGTAATAATACAATGACGTCAAAATATTGTTTTGTATTTGTGAATGATTCATAGTGAATATTTTCTTGCCTTGTACTTTTTGAATTTGATGATTTTATATATATATTTTGTTTCGTGATTTGGATGCTCGTGTCTTATATCTTTATTTTGTTTTGCCATTTAGATGTTTGCGTCTTGTGTTCTTATTTGCTTTATTATATGATTTTTACGTTACAGTGTAATCGAAGTATCAGGTAAGATTAATATTTAATACCTTTGGATAAATGTAATATAAACAATTATTATCTTTTGAGAAAGAAATATATTTATTACAGACACACTGAATATATTTATTAGATTTTTTTTCTTTAAAACCATTGCCCAACAACTTTGTAGAATATATTGTAATTCTTGTAGAAATAAACTAATAATGAGTATTTTTTTGTATCTAACAAGGAGAGTGCAAGTCCTTCGGGTCACCGATTTAGTTGAAACTTTGCGGGTTTGTAAATATCGTCTTGCAGTTTAAGAAAATATATCATTATTGCCGCAACTACTTAATAGTTTTGAGATATTTACAATTAAAGTTTTATTACTTCTTTAATTATAAATTTATTTCCAATAGTTTTCAAGTGGAATCGTGGCCTAATGGCGACAATCGAGAATTCCTATGCTGGAGGACCGGGAGGTTCAATTTTTTACATCCATGGTTAATAGTTTTTTTCAATCTATTTTTTTGTATTTATTTTTCGCCTATGAAAATATTGTAAATAAAATTTCTTAATAAAAGAATTTATTTTTTACGCTTTCTTATGCAAGTATATATTTATTACATAATAATAAGAATATTACGCAAGAAAAACGCTTTTCTATAGCAATCATATTTACTGCAGGAAATACAAAACTTACCGGTCATGTATGTAATAATTATTAAATTAAACATCCTATAAGAATGTTGCCTATAATTAGAACTTTGCTGTGCAGCTATAAATGGTCATGAAATAATTACAGAAACTTGGAAATTTATTAATTTTTTATTGTCGAATTGATTTCTAGTATCTAGTTTGAATAAAAATTTTACCGCCTGCGATCAGCGCCATCTATAATTTTGGACCTAAAACTCAGAAACGTAATAGGAATATAGAATAAGCGAGGAGGTCGTCGAAGAGCTGGTCACGTGGCAGACGTTCTAACCCTAGCCTTTTAGAAGCTAATAAATTCTTTAGTGAGAGCAAGAATGGATCAAGTAAGATATATATTTCATATTCCTACATCACTTTATATTTAAAAAAAAGATCTGTAAAACATATAAGTATCTTTTAAATTCCTATTAACCAATAATGAATTTTGTATTTATAAACAGTGAAATTACCATGCTTTCTCTTTGTCCAAAAAAAAGGAGATTTCAAAATCATTTACTTTGTAATGATTGGCTTAAGAAACTAAATTTTGTATTATAATATACAAAGAATAAAGATATTTATAAAATGAAATAGCAAAGTTTCTCATAAAACTTTTGCAGCCAAGAAAGTCAACTTGCAAAATGTTTGTTTACTACCAAGTATGGAACATCAAGAAAAATATGAAGAAGGTATAATAGAAGCAATTATTAAGAAATTTATTTAATATTGTTTACAATTTTCTTAGAATATAATATTATAATATTAGAAATAAATTAATCATGGATATTTTTGATAGCAAAATCCTCTGATTACAGTGAAAGCAGTGGTTTTCATCAAATGATGACTTAAAACACAAAAACGTCTAAATATATGTTCTCAAAAAGAACTAAAGTATAATATATTTTTAATATGATTCCATATTTATGTAAGTACTAAGGAGTAATGTAATAAGTCATTTAATTATTTTGTAATATAGTTTAAAGAAGACTATCGTTACAATAAAAGAAAAAGCAAATAATGAAATAGTTATGTATAGATATGCAATGCATAACATGCGTGACACGCACGAACACACAAAAGAAATATATGAAGAATTATTTTAAAGAAATCAGTATTATATATATTACCGTTCATTTCCAGTTTCCTTACATTTTATTTGTTATATTTTTTAAGTATCTAATATATAAGTATAGTTATTTGATTAATATAACGATGTAACGTCACATTGTCGCGTCATGTTAATAGCCATAACATTTCCTTTCAATCCCAGCTCCTAATTAATTAACTTTTTACTACGTATGTCACATACGGATGACGTTGAATTTGTTATGCTTGTAGAGTCATCAGTTTCCCAGGCAGTGTTGAAATATCAAATATCAAGTGCTAAATCGTGATATCATCGATCTTCTGATCACGCAATGATAACTCTTACCATGCCCTTAACGAAGCGACCGACACTGCATTGTGTGTTTTTATTCCCAACAATTTTCTTAAGTCTTTCCTATATATGCATAATTGTAATGTAATACGAATATTAAATCATGTGTCAAAATTTATATAAAACGTGCAATTTCAATATTTTCTTTCTTTTCAAATTCATAATATACGATGATTATAATGAATTAAAATATATGAAAATATTAAAATAATTAATTGATATGTTAATAATTTTTCTTTATCGGTATAATTTAATATATACATAATAAATATATAATTTAATAAATACATCATTTTTAAAAGGCTTAAGAATGAAGAGACAGAGAATAGAAATTAAATGATTATACAGAGTTATTACTTCATTTCATAACAATATTATTTACTAACAAATTGTCAGTTTTTAAACTGATCTATGTGAATTGTAAAAAATATGTAAGGAACAAAATATAAAACTTTGGTTTATTAATGAGAAATTTTCAAAACATTTTTATTACTACTATTACATTGAAACTTCACTTGAGACAAGATGTATATGATCTTTATTTTAAATTAATGACAAATTCATTTTTATTTAATCTGTTTTAATGAATCAAAATAATTCTTATTATTAAGCAACACATATTCTTTTAAGCTCTCAAGCTAGAATATACCAATTTGCTTTCAAAACCTTTAAAATTGATCAATTTTATTTACAAGTATTTTACTTAAAAACAAAATTATGAACTAAAGATATGCTACAAGAATTAAAAGTATCACAATAAAAATTTATCATGTTATATGTTACGAAACATCATAACATAATGATATTACAAAATTCTTTAATAGATATTTTGTTAAACTCTTTTTGAAGTTAATCATTGTTATACATGAATCAGTGACTGCGATAAACATTAAAACCTGAAAATTGCCAACGTCTTTCCATGTTTGCTCCAATACCAAATAAGTCCTGTTTAAAGACTTGAGGAAATCGTTGCATTAATGCTTCTACTTCATTTGGTTTGATACCTGGTTCCATTTTTTGTAAATAAGACCACAAATAATCTACACTTGCACCAAATGGATGAATATGTAAAAACGTTGCTATTAATCCTGTAATCGTAATAAGATTGATTTATCAAATCATATATAAAGCTTTAAATGATTAAGAATTCGCAAGATCATTTATAAAAATTACCTATCAACTTAGCATCCTTTTGAGTAATTTGTACAAAGCTAGACATTAAAACCAACTGTTTCGGAGTTCGGGGTTCCTCGTTGACGTCATCATCTTTATCTAAAGTTATTACCTCGCTCTCTCGAGGCTCTTCTTTCTTTGTAGCATTTAATTTCACAGTCAAATCTTTAATTTTCTGATCATCTTGCGCTTGCTGTTTCCGCGATTGCATCAATTGTTCCTGCATGCCTTTCAAAGTTTGTTGCAACATCTTCATTTGTTTATCCTTTGCGTCTATTTCACTTTTTGTCTCGGATTTTAGCAAATCCACCTACGAAATATAAAAATGTATCTCTCTCTCTCCCTCTCCCATTTTTTCATTTGGATGACGGTTCTTTCGTATTGTGAGTTAAACGGTAGATCAAAGCCGTCGCATACTTCGTTCTTATATGCTTCTAACTGACATCGAAGACTATCATTCTCCTCCTTCAATGTTTGCAATCTTTCAATATCATCGTGTGTATCCGATTGATTGCGCGTTTTTTTGCGTTGCGGTTCTTCTTCCGAATCGGAAACTTCCATTTCACCTTCACCTTCCATTAAAGATTCTTCCAGTTGTACTGCTTTAATTTCCTATTGCAACGAAAAATCATCACTGAGTTTGTTTCTATACACATTTGTCAACAAAAACAACATCCAAAAACATGCCTATATGTGTATGTGTGTATATATATATGTGTGTATGTATTTATTTATTTATTTATTTATTTATTTATTTTATATATATATTTATATATATATATACACACACACGCACACACGTACATCTCTCCTTGTTTTAAATATCGCAATAGGTAAGAAATTGATAAAGTTTCTTTAGCTTTGACCTTATACAGCATATGATTGTTTTTCAGAATTTAATGTATTTCGAAAGATGATCTCCTATAATACAAAATCAGTTTAAATATGCATGTAAGATAATTTTTATAATGAACGAAGATAGTTTGTTTTTGAGAAATCACCTAGGAGGTGCTTACCTAAAGAACATTACATAGAAAAGTTTAAATAAATAACTAGATAAATAAATAAATAATAAATAAGTAAATATATATATTATATATTATATATTTATATATAAATATGTAATACCTTTGCTTATATATTTATATATGTGTGTGTGTGTATGTGTGTATCTTGATCAAGCATACCTATTTTTAAAATAGAAAAATGAGTAGATTTATGCCAAGTATATCTATGTTGCCACTTTTATATTTCTGCTCTTATTAGCATAAGATAAGAAATCTGCTTAACAAAATGAAAATCACATTTTAAATTAGAAATTGTTGTTGATTCGGATGTTACCTGTTTAAGCTCCAGTCAATGGTATCCGTCCAATTCAAATGAAGAAAACTATCCTTTACCTTTTATGTTCCATAATTCCCAAAAAGTTTAAACATTGATTATACATCATTGTTATGATGTACGTCTGACTAGACGCAACAAAGTCATTCATACTTTTCGATTATTACTTACCTCCTTTTGAAAAAAATGTGTTTGCAAAACGCGTGTGCCTGGCGTATAGATGAATGTGCATTCGCATAAAGAAGCGCTTTGTGACACGTAAGACTTTGTTGATGATTACTGTTGTCTAATTATAAAAAAAAGTAACGTACTGGACACGGGCTACTAACATGGGAATGCAAATACATACCGAGGATTGTTTCTTCCACATTTCGATGTTCTTCCGTTGAGCCTTTGTGAAGTGATCCCAGACCTTCTTGTGGCTGGCCGCAGTAAAGACGCGTTCAATCTGACTGACTGTTGATGACATGGTCGCATGTTGCATACAAAAACACAACAAATCTTCTGTTGTATACCCTGCTTTAAACTCTACATTTGTGTTGATCTAATATGTAACTCTCCTTAAAATCATCTATATGTATGTATGCGTGTATATGTGGTATGTGCGCGCGTGTTCGTGTATGTAATGCATACATACTTTTTAACATATTCTTTGCAATATTGTCAAAGTATCACAAGTGTTACCTCTATACTCAACAATGTTTTTATATTATTTAAATTCGAATGTTTCCTTTCAAAATACATTATATGATTTTAAAATTATTTGAACACCTATTTTCTCTTTCTTTAAAAAATTACCCTATATAGCGTGCTAAGCAATTGTGTCATGAAATTACTTATCCGAGTACAATATTTTCAAAAAATGTTTTCACCGTCGATCAAGGATCCATTTCAGAGGTCTTGTAATTTGGCTGCCAATCACTAGATCAATGGATCACAATTGGTGCTTATTTTCCTTAAGAAAATCTGCACCATACTCCTAACAACTTACAATATGTAGAGGCTTCCAACGTTAAACAGATGATTTTACGCTAAGATTCCACTGACTTATTTTGTACTAGTCAATGCACTAAACTAATTACAGATTATTTGTAATGATATTTATAATATATTATCCTACCAAATTAACTGATAGATGAGCAAAACATATAGGAATCATAGCATAATATCATTTCCACAACAAATATTTAGCCCATCACCCTTAATCCTTAGCATTGCAAGCATGCAATTTTTAGGTACACTATGTTTCTATAAAATGAATTTTTGTAGTATTTGTGCTCTTTCGTTCAATCATCAGAGCCTAGAATCAGAAGACAGGATATCTTCACCCACCTTATTTTCTCCTACTGTCTTTGATCCTTCTATCGAGTTGTCCTGATCGTGCATTGACCACAATACACTCGTTATATAATAAATTCCTTACAATACATCTGATGTTGAATCTCAACGAGGATGAATTTTTTAACGACCGAGATTCGATACCACAAGATCGACGATGTAATTTTTAATGTTAAAAATTTTATTTGATCTCGTGTATTTGTCTTCAGAAATGGCAGAATCTTTAATGTGAAAAGTGGCGTACCTTTGAGATTACTATAACAAATTCTATATATTTTATATATATACTTTATAACTTAACTTAGCTATTATGTGGTAGCTAAGAATTTACTAAGCGTACAACAAAAGAAAGTACGCATTTGTGTTATTATAAGATACGCCAAATTCTGACGCAATCGCATTTTGGCATTTCTTGTATCGAATACTCAAAGAATCATAGAATTTTTATTTTATGGTAAAAAAAAACTTACCAGACAAAGCAATATGTATGTAGATTTGCTCTTGTGTACATAAATAATGTACAGTGGTATAGAGCTATGTTATAGAAAAAAAAATATATATATACATATATATAGATTATATAAACGTACATTGTATTAAGAGTCCTTGCATTCTCCCCTTCATTAACTCCTTTGCCTTTTGAAGTTCCTCTTCGTACGCAACTTTCTCAGTGAGTAATCTTCGAACATGAGAATTTGTTGACTGAATCATCGAATAAAAAGTGTTAGCGTTGCGTTTGGTACAGTCCCCACGCTCGAGCCATGTTACGACAACCTGGAATGATTTAATGCGCTTGTTTTGTAACATGACAAAACGTCTTTTCTGGAATTCAAAAGTTTTTGTCTGCAGAAACACTTAACAGTACTTAAACATTTTGTATAACAAATATCTCTACAATAATGATTACTTACTTGCACTGCTTTCATAAATGTATCATCTTGTTTGATTTTCTCACAAATATTTGATGCTTCATGATCTGTATAATGTACTACTGGAGGAGGACTGGATGGTGCCCTTTGTCTTTCCTTTTCAACTCTTTCTCTGTGACGTTGTTCTCTCTGTAGTTGACGTTGTCTACACTCCCATTCGTACTGATCATCTCTGGCCTATATATTTTATCACAGAATAAATAGACAAACAAGTATTTCAGGTATAAGTAATTATGTGTATCATAATTACCAACCTGTGCAAAATCTACATGAAGCCTTCCTGTATTTGCAGGATCACCACTAGATCCTATTCTAACTCTATATCCAGATAAATAAATTGCTGAATCAACACTAGTCTCTAGTACAAAACGTATATGACAAAAGTTTTTTTTAGAAAGTCGTAAGGTAGTTATCTCTCCACATCGTTCGAATATTTCTTGAATTATCGTTTCTGTGATATTTTCTGGCAAACCTAAAAAAAATTTACAACAATTTGTACAAAGTATATGATACTAATTTTAAGTTTGCTTACAATATACAAATAACACGAATAAAAAATACCTCCAACAAAAATTGTTCTGCATCCTGGAGGCCTTTCTCTGGTTGTTGGAGGTGGAGCATTTGGATTTGGTGGGAACAGTGTGCAACTTTTACAATGTATAATTTCTTTGGTACCTTGCGATGTTGTTGGTGGAGGTGGTAAAGCACCACTCATAATTTGAGCAGCATCGTTCATTATTTGTTCCGGTCCTAATATTTGTGCACTTATCATACTACCGTCATGTGACATCATTCCCATACTCATGGGTCCATAACTATGAGTATGTCCCATATGATGACTAAGAGTCATTTCACTCATCATGGGACCCATTGGCACTATTGGACCCATTCCCATCACTGGATACCCTACTCCCATTCCCCAAACTCCAGTTGCTTGTTCCATTTGTGTTCCCAAATTTGGAGTATTACCGGTATTTGATGATGATGGAACTTCATTATTATTTGAATTATTACTGTGACCATTATTGCTATTGGTGGAATTTATACTGTTTCTATCTTCTGGTCTTCGATCTTCTCTTCGATCTCTTTCATTTCTTTCTTCTCTTCTTTCTCTATCTCGCTCTCTTCGATCACTCCGATCACTTTTAGATCTATTTAAAGAAGAAAGATTATATAGTATATTAGCTATAATACAATTATAACACAATTCCATAACTAAATTATGTATAAAAATTAGCTAAGCAACCTTTTGTTGTCACGATTATCCCTATTATCTCTGTTTTCTCTTTTCCGTCGAATGTCACTTTTTTCATTTCTTTTATCGCTATTATCTTCAGAAGTTTCTCTAACTACAGGTGGTTGATTCTTATTTGTACTAAATTCTAAAGGAGAATCATTCATTCCAGGCAGCGATATTGGTGGAGGTAAGGGCGGAAATCCTTGGCCTGCTAACTTCATAAAACTTTGTGCATCTGCAATTGGAGCAAGGGATCTCATTGCTCCTATACCTGAAAATATAAAACATTTTCAAGTAAAAATATTTTTCCAATTATCACAAGATTCATGTAACTTTAAATAGGGCGATGAAGTATGCATGTTTCGGTAAATGACACAGAATAGGAGAAACTAATATAAAATATATGGTTATCACTTTCAAGCATACCCATCGGTGGCATAGCGGCCGCTGGTACACCCGGAAAATTATAAGCCATCTTCTACCAAACTCTTTATAATTTTGCAATTATTCCTCGACAAATTACAAATAACAAGAGGTTGAAGAGAATAAATGTACTTTTTCGGAATTCTAGATCATATCGTTGCAAACTCTGCATCCAATATGGCAGGAAGACAAATGTAACCTCCTGAGTTTTAAAGTTCTCAATTGGTTCATTCCTTTAATAATTTTAGTGTCAATTAACTTTGAATCATGAGAGACAATGAATATACTAAAATTATCGGAAAAAATGTGATTTTAGTACCTTACAAGGAGAAACACGTAAAAAGGCTGGTATTTTTATCGATTATCGGCTTCAGTTTATGTTAGTAAAAATATCCACCATTTTTAAATCGTTTCCTATGTCCCTTAAAATAGTTGGAACATTAATATAACTTCTTTTTTTTTTCAAATAAGTTTTTATTTAATATTATCAATTGTTTGTAATATATTATTTTATTCTCAGATATCACGAATGGATGAAGTCGGCAGAATTACGATATTTTACAGGTTCAGATATTTTAACATTAGAGGAAGAGATTCAAATGCAAAAGCAATGGCATCTGGATCAAGACAGTGAGTAATATTATTTTTAAACATGTAGTTATATCAGTTATATACCTTTATTCGTTTTAGAATGTACCTTTATAGTTTTGGAAAAAACTATTTGTGATGAAACTGGAAATGAGATAGGTATATAAAAAATCACTTTATATTCAACATTATTGTTTTTATACTGATGAATTGGTATCAATCAATTTTAGAAGCTATGATTGGAGATACAAATTTATTTTTTAATGATTTAAACCAGCCAAATACTGCAGAAGTTGGAATTATGATAGCAAATATTACTTATAGAAGAAAAAAAAGAGGATGGGAAGCAATAATTTTAATGCTACTTTATGGTATGCATTTTATGCTATCTATTTTCTATCATTCAAGCTATTTTTACACTTGCACAAAATTAACTTCTTTAAATTAGGTATTGAAAAATTAAATGCAACTAAATACATTGCAAAAATTAAATCTAATAATGAAGAAAGCATAAAGATGTTTGAAAAATTAAGATTTCAAAAGGTAATCATTCTTTTAAATTATTTATCCAGCAGAAATAATACTATTATCAATAAATATGATTTATGCTATAAAATAGGTAGAAAGTAATCAAGTTTTTCAAGAATATACTTTTGAAAAAGTGATAAGTGAAGATTGGATCGATTGGTTATATTCTCAAATTACTATAAATATGATTAATTATGAAGTTTATGATAAGGTATAACATTTACCTATAATTATAGAAATAATACCTATAATTAATAAAAATCTGTAATTGTTATCATGTTGTGTCATAATTTTATTATATTATTATTCATTAAACCATGAAGTTTTATAAATATTTAAATATTTATAAGTAGTATATTATACTACTGTATGATATTAAATAATTTCCTATATAATAGTTACGTACAATTGACATAACCGAGACGTGATTGATTTTGATTACTTCTAAGTGCTCATAGTTGATCACGCATGTACAGTGCACGTACCAACGAAATATTTTAAACGTAATATTTTTTACATATTCAACAATTAATTGAAAATATATTTTATAGTACGTGTACTATAATTGAGAATGTAAGAAATTAACATCGTATAGACTATTTTTTTCTTTGATATACCGTAAAAAAGTTCGTTCAAAAATTATAACAAAAAAAGTGATCTTGGATTATGCCTACTATCTTGATTTATTATCATGAAGTATTAGTTTCGATATCGTAAAATAGGTTGGAAGATTTAACCAATTATTTAAGACGAAATATTTTGTAGCGCGTCTATACGTTATCAAAATAAGAGGTTTTACATTGAGAAAGTGATAAAAGTTCAAATATTTTTTTAAAATTTATATTAGTTTCTTTTACAGCAATAATTTATAAAATTATTTTGACAAAATATACCTACTTTTAATTATTTCTAGAATTAAAGTAATATTTTAAAAAAACTATTAGTTGAAAGACAAATTTTACAACAATCTAAAGTGAAAAGATTTCTATTAGAAAAATAGACTTGGAGGTATGTATTATTATTCAACAGGTAACTTATATAGATTTAAAAGAAAATATTAATTTAAGAAATATAAGAAATACGTGTTGTTCGAGATAAGAACAAATAATAATTTATATTATCCTATTTGAATGAAGACATCATTTGGTTTTAAATAATCAATTTTTTAATTTGTTTTACAAAATATCTATATATTATTTGTTAATGTATGTTATTCTTATTTGTTATTGTTATATTTATGAAAGCTTAGAAAAATCTTTTCCGCTTTATTATCTGATGCATTACCGCAATGCGGTTTTTTTTCCTCGTTTGGCCTATTCTATACATACATTATTTCTTTATGTTTAATTAATTGTATTACATTCGTTATCATTGAATGGATTTTTCAATATACGAGACGTTCAATGTTCTTTATTTTCTTTGATCTTTTCTAGCTCTCAATAATATTCATCAATATAAACTTCTGATTTTTTGCACTGAATAGCTTTATCGATTATTTCGTATAATCTAACGTATTAATTTTCAGATAATAAAACAAACGACAATACAAAATTTGCAGAAATTTCTTCGTTATCATGTCTCTGTCTAGAGTACTACAGAAGTTGAAAAGTTCAATTCAAAAAAGGCCACTATTTTTTAGTTCACTGGTATATGGTTCCTTTTATACCGGTGCTGAATTCGCACAACAAACATACAGCAGAATATTCAAGGTAATATTCCTTTTTGTTCGATCAAAGTATATAAATAATAATAATAATAAATACTGATAGATAATGAGGAATATACGAAAAAATAGAACGATATAACATAAATTGAACGTATATATATAATTCGGTCTAATTATAGTTTTCGTCATCAACAAACAATGAACAGAAAAGTGCACTTGAGATTCAACGACCATTGTTTATCTGGATAAAAAGGTTTAATCAAAAATTGGGCCTATTAGACGAAAATAATTCGATGCAATTGGAATATTATAATTGGGCCCGACTTAAACGATATGCTATTTACGGCTGTTTCATTGCAGGACCAGTATTACATGGATGGTATCACATTTAACTTTATCCTTTACACACATGCTTTATATCATTTGTCTGTTTTTATCACTTATAACATTGTTGTTCAAATAAAATCACATTATGCTTTTATGATTACATAATAAAACACTATGTATTAAGCGCATGCGATTGTATTTATAATGGATCAGATTCAAAAACTGTTATAAATTTCGTGTTCAATAATTAAAATATTATCGAACGACTATATTCTTTATAATCATATCAATGTGTACCTTTTTTAAATAAGAAATAAATATTTGAAATAAATTAAGGTATAAATAATAATATAACAATGATAGCAATATTAAAAGTTATATGAGCATGTGATATTAAAATCTATAAATATAAATATAAATATAAATGCGCGCGTGTGTATGTGTAGAAAGAAACAAATTGTTCAAATAAGTAATTGATTGATCTTGTTTAATTTTGATAATACTAATCTTTCATAGACACTTATTATTACATATAAATATCAACATGAAATATACTATTTGTTCACTGGTAGACGATCGCACGATTGTATTCATCGGCACGCTGATCTCCTCTCGACTTATCATCTTTGGTGAGCTTATTCTGCTTTGCCATTTGAATTAATACAAAAATCGCCTACATTGAATTTATTTTTAAATATCGTGATAAAATAACTATCACTAAAAATTACATTATAATTCGGAAGCATCAAAAGCATTTTTTCTCGTAATATTAATTTTTTCATAATCTGGTATCAGCTAAAAATAAATTAAATCATTTAATATTGTTCGTATCAGGTACAAATGGTTGGATATGTTCTATAAAGGCAAAACAATGAAAATTGTTTTTATAAAACTTCTGGTTGATCAGTTTATTCTTACACCGCCATTAATTATGATGTTCTTCATCAGTTTGTATTTAATTCCTTTTTATATCATATATATATATATATATATATATATATGTTTATGATGTTTTAAATGATAATACACATCAGTGGGATATTCATTAACATTTTAGGTATGAGCCTAATGGAGGGTAAATCAAATGTTCTTGATGAATGCAAAGACAAATTTTTTCAAACGTTCAAGGTAATTTAAATTATTTTTTTTCTAAAACTTAAAAAATTTGTGTCTAATTAAATACTTTTTATTTTTAGACTTCATGCATGTATTGGATACCAGTTCAATTTTTGAACTTTTTATTAGTACCGTCAACATTACGAGTCTCTTTTGTTAGTATTGCAGCTTTTTGTTGGGTAAACATTCTTTGTTATTTAAAAAGTACTCCTATATCTGAATAGAACGGTAATCAAATAAAACATTGATTTCCTACATTAATATTTTTGCTTTGACCTAATAAAATTTATCAAAATTTTAGTATAATAGTGAGCTTATTGTTCTTAAATAATTATAATTTATGTGTGTATTTAATGGATTAAATTTCTTCAGTCTAAATTTGATATATACATGTAAATCTAGTCTTTATTTTAAAAGTGAAATTATGCTTTTTCAATTTAAAATATAATAATAAATAGTAACATAAAAAGAATAATAATAAAATTTATTACTTCAATCAGTGTGATTATATGATGAACTTACTTTCACCTGTATTTTTTTAAATTTTATATATGTACATAATGATTACATGTAGTGATTTAGTATTAAAAATTAAATGAAATGTAAAAATACTAATAACATGCACAAACATATTTTGAAAAAATACCTTTACATTTGAAATACAATGAAATATATTGTGCTATAATAAGTAATTCGATGAAGTATTATGTTATAATGTTAAAAATTTTAATGGTGCTGAAATCAAGGCTTGACTTACAATATAATTAATATTGTGTTACGCACCAATATATATTTTCTAAACATTGTTTAAGGATAAAGTGTCAACTTTAACTTATAGAAATCATATTCAACTGATTTTTAAAAATTTTATAAAATCATAAAACACATGATTCACATATATGCATGTATGTACATATGTATTGTGTATATGCGAGCACTAAATCTACATTTAGGAAAACATTTCCTTTAACATATAATTAATATAATTCAATTATGTGATATTGAATAATTGTTATTGAAAATAATATTTCCTATTTTTATAATAATTAAAATACTTTTATTTTTCTCAATTTGTATGTATGAATATATATATATACATGAATACACATATGTAAAATTTATTACTTTCTTTACTTAGCGCAGTCTTATTAATGTCTTACATTTGAAAAGAATTTAGTTATTGTAGAAATATGTAAGTTTTATATGAAAAAGCATATTTCATATTTAAGGAAATAAAAGATTATAAGCATCTTATGTACCTATAATAAATATTTTTCATATAAATGATGTAACATTAATTATGCAATACATATATTTGTAGTAATAATATGTATATATATAATTTTATTAACTTAGTTTATGTTATTTCTACTGTTATTGTTTGGGAATTAATTTAAAGTTTAACGGTTGAATCAAAGATACGGGTAGAGACAGAATAGTTTAAACAACAGGACAATTAATGTAAAGAGAAAGAAAGTTGTTTCTAATAAAGTAAATTTAATCGCACACAAAAACAAATGATTGGGTAATTACGCAATACACCTTGGACAAAATGCTACCTTGATAAATACGGTAATTATTATTACTAATATGATACACTTTGATACATCTACACTGATTTAATCGATCTCGATACGTTGAAGCTAATGATGATATACTTATTACTAGAGGTATACGAGTCTCGAAAATTTCGAGCCGAAACAAGACGAAATATACGAGATCGAGACGAGATCTCGAATGTCGAAAATTTTGAGAATTTTGAAAATCGTTAATTTCTACAAAAGTTCGAGGCTTAGTTTTGCTAAACACAGATTTCAAATGCTGTAGCCAAGAATAAAATTGAACTTATAAAATTTTTTACTTTATTTGGTGAGCATAAAATATAAAACAGGAATTGAAATAATGCACAAAGTAAATGATACACGTGACAATAATATTTTATTTTAAATTCATATGTAAAAGTACTAATTGCTCAACCATTTCTGATAATAATTTTGTTCTTTTAGCGGTCACAGTATTACCAATAATAAAAAGTCTCTCACTGCTAGTTTGAGTTGCACAGATGTCCATGTAACTGCGTATAATTGTATTCTGTCAATATAGGAAATCTTGTTTTTTTTTGTTTTCCACTAATTTGTAACGTTAGTGTTTCAAATTGCATTTACAGGATGTTTCTTTACATTTTACCCACCAAAGACATTATCAAAATATTTCAGTAATTTGCTTATAGGTTCATTTATAAAATGTAATATTCCGCATAAAATTCTATTAAAACAAGATATTAGTTCGAATAATGATTGTGGACCTACAACCTTATAGTATAATAGAAAAGAGTTTGAAGATAGTAATAATTGTTGCTGAGCCAAGATATAAAATTCTTTTTTGATTAATATTTCCATAAGAAGTAATACAGAGGTTTCCCATATTAGCTAGAGCAGCGTGCAGTTACATTATTGCTCTAGCTATTCAAACAAGCAGTGAAATGCTTCTTTCTTTTACAACTGGTAATATTGTAGTAGAAAATTCAATACTATTATTAATGGTTTACCGAACAAGAGTATTATCGGATAATGTAGAAAAATTTGCATTTTTACATGTAAATATTTTATTTATAATTCCAAGGTATTTATATATGTACTTATATATTATATATCTACCACTTATTTGTTTTATCATTCATTCAAGTTTTTATAATTTTCGAGAATCCTGATATATTCGAAATTCTTGATATTTCTAAGATTCTCAAATATTTCCGAGAACTTGAAGATTTTCGAAATTCTTGATATTCTCGAATGACGAGATACTTTCAAAGTCTTGTCTCGTCTCGTTTCAAACATCGAGTGTCTCACACATCCCTACTGATAACTGTTTTGAGAATTATGAGAGGAGAACAGAACCGCCAATTACTGAAGACAACCGAAATAATCGGCTGTTGCTTAGCCCGCACATAATTATGTACATATAATCTCAAGCCCAAATACCAACAAACGCACACAAGCATACACACACGCATTCGGTACAAAATATATCTATTTTTCAAATAGTGACTTTATAAAAAAATGCATAAAAGGATAGGCCATGAAAGTTCATTACTTCCATACAGAATATTATATTATTTGTAAGTGTATTATTATTTTGGAAATTTAAATGGGTCAATGATGATCATCACAAAGCAGAAAAATACTAGATACATTATTGAGTTCAAGTTTTTAATAAAATTAAAACATTCTGTGTGTCCCTTCATTATTTTTGTCCTCACATTACATTAGTACATAATACTTAATTAAAAGTACCAAAAAGATATTGTTTTTTGTTAGAATTTTTTAAGTTTTCATTAATCAGGAAATAAATATTATATAAAGACTATTATTAATTAAAAATTATTTATAATATAACATATAATACTACCAACTTCTTTCAGACAGTAAGCAAGAATTTTGTAATTCATAATAAAAGTATCTTCAAAGAGCACATCAATTTTATGTTATGTATAGATTAATTCTATATTATGTTTTATATTATGATATATTTGGTTCATTTGAATTTGCTAATTGATAATATTAAATTTTTTAAATTCATTAATGATGATCATATGAGGATATTAAAAATTACTTTTTGTTTACTCAAAAGTTGTTTTTTATAACATTATATGTATGTATAAGACATAATGTGTATTTTTATGAATAAATATGCATACGAAACTCGATAGCATTGTGCGATTACAAAATGTTATCTATTTGCTATCAGGTCGAGCAATCTTCAACAGTCTTAATAGAACAACTTAATTGGCTCATTTAATATTCATTTTTAACAATTAGGAAAGGCACCTAAGAGGGATCCAGCCCTACCTTGTAGAAGAAAATATATTCATTGTTCCACTGGCTGTGCGTTTTCTTATAAGGCGTGCCGCAACTGTAAATTTTTATTTAAAAGCAACGTTATTTCTTTTTACTTATCTTTCCTCTTTTTGTTGATCTTTTTCCTATGTCAATAAAATTTACCAGTTGCATCTTGTGGAGTAAGTGGTTTATCTATCACTTTTTGAATCACATTCATCCATTGCGATCTATCATCATCACTTTGAGCAGAAAGAAGATAGGTCCTATCTGGTGTTTCAAGAGTAAATGAAAATCCTTGATCTCTTGCACCTGGAGGGACTCCTGTTTTCACTGCAAAACCGTCTGAACAATGACCCAAGAAAATTTCACCTTTGGGATGTGCATCCTTTGAATTGACACAAAATAAATTTATCAACTATTTTCCAACAATGAAGAATATAATTATCTTTGAAATAAGTATGCACACCATAGGATCATCATGATACATCAGTTTTCGTCCATCTAATGTGAACCATCTTTTTTTGTAGGCATCTGTATATCTAGGTCCAGTTTTCCATAAAAATCCTTCACGAGGAAAATCTCTAGTAAGTTGTGAGAGTAATTCAGCCTCAGTTGCTCCTGGATATGCAACTTGCAGACGATGTAACTTAGCACACCGTATTGCTAGATACCAATTTGTAATTACTTCTGGGTCTTCATGGTATACATAGATATGTCTTGTTGTTCCATCTTTCATAAATGATATTTGTAGACTATTTTGATTACCAGTTTTAGGAGGGGCAAAAGCTACATTTAATTCTGATATTCTAAGAATAGCTTTAGGTTCCTTGAAACAAAAATATTGGTAAGAACATAGACAGTATATGTCTTATTAAACATTAAATAAATATGTGACATCTAACATTTACAAACCTTATTTTCTTTAACATGATACTTGAGAGTATCTTCTGCTTCGCAAAGAACAAATTTTCGAGGATGATAACGTGAATCTTCTTTCCCACGTTTCATTAAAAATCCTTCCATAAATCCTGAAACGTAATGATTTTGTCTTTCTGGATGACAAAATTCCTCCCTTTCATATTTTGCTCTTATCCATTGCTCTACCAATACTCTGTTAATAGAAAAATGTTACTTTTGAGATGTACATTTATTTTTAATTGCATGTTTGAAATATATATATGACTACCTACTGTGGTGCATCTGGATTTGGTCTACGATAACATGGAGGTACGCGTTCTTCATAATGAAGCCTAGCTGCAATATTACCAACTTCTCTAATTCTATTTACTTGAGAATCTTCCCACCTATCCAGTTTTAAATGTTTAACTTTAGAAATATGTGCACCCATTGACCTATGTATACCTGCACATCTTGTGCACACAAATATTCCTATGTTATAAGAAGCCCATTCTGGATCTGGAATTTAATTCCAATTAATCTTATGAAAATAATTGTTTATTTCTTAATTTCGTTGCCTAGTTATAATTTACTTAAATATATATAAACATAAACTCATATGGATATAAGAAAAAGTGTTAATAATTAAAAATTATAATCTATATTATTCTTAAAATAACAAAGAAGCTAATTATTTATATTACAGTTTATGACAAGACAGGTAAATATATATAAATAGTAACACAATCTAGATATATAAAATCTCTTTATTACTATATACATTTATAAACCAAACTATTAGTAAATATTATATTAACAACTACAATTTTATTACATAAAAAACATTCTAAATGTAATAATTTTAAGATTTCTTTTAACAAATGTTGTATTTTCTGCTTTCGAATATAAATGTAATAAAAATCTATTATCATATTATAAAACATAAATGTAAAATGTTTGTAGAGTCAGTAATAACATTATTTCAAAATAACAACGTTGCACATAGAAATCCATTCAATCTACTATAGTTAAGTTAAACAAAAATTTCAAATTCTTCTTTTCAATATTAGAATTGTACTTAAAGTATTCTGAAATTTCTTATGAGTAAAGTTATGGAAACAAAGCTTCATATTCCATCACTAAATAGTTTATTATATAATAGAATAAATCATTTTTAACGTCTGTTACGTTATTATACGATAATTTAATAGATGCTTCTTAAAAAATTCACTCACTTTTTGCCCCACAATCTGCACATATATTATTTCCAGGTTTTTTGAGGAGTTCTGTTAACAACTTCTCATTTAAGTCCGCCATCTTAAAACACTGACAAACAGCAATATGTATATATGCAAAGATTATTCGATACGAAGAAGGTTAACTCACTAAAAGGATTCTTTATAATTAATTCTTAAAAATATGATCAAGTTTATATCAACTTAACTTGTCATATAATGAAATATTTTTGCCTTTCACGTTTAAATAGCATTCTTCATTTATTAAATGCATAATTATGAATAATCATTTTCTTTGAGTTATAACAATCAATTCATGTTTAAATTTTAATTTGTTAGATCAAAACGAAAAGAAAAAATTTATCTTATTATTTTCAGAGTTGTAATGTTTTTATAGAAAAAGATTACTTTATCAAAAAGATATATTAATATTATTTAAATTACTTGATTGCATTATATTCTTTATTAGTATAAAACAAAGTAGAATGATATTTTAAAAAAAGCTGAAATGTATAATATATGTTTTCCATAATAAATTTATCATTATAAACTTTGATAATTATAATAGTATGTGATGAGACATATTATAATTTGATGAAATAACATTTTAATAATACCAATAATTTCACCATGTTCTTCAAATTATTCATCAAATTCAGCTGTCTATTTTCATTACTAACCCAATAAAAACAGTCCAATCTACAATATTATTTAAACACACTCTAATTTGTTATACTGTTTCTATTCTTAATTAGTAAAAAATAAATGTTATTGACTAAGTTGCATTTACTGTTTATTGAATATTTTTATTTAATTGATTTAAGAAAACTAAGTATGACTTTATTTATCTTGTTTTGTGATTATTATGATATCCTTTGTATTATCACAACATAAATAAGCACTTTGTACCAGGTATACATATCATATGCATGTGTCGCGCATAGTATTGAATTTTTAATAAAGAATAATCTGCAAAATGTAAAGGTATATTGAAAATTAAATATTCAATTTAACATATAAATATATATAATTTAGTATACTTACACATTCAATATTTATTAATTTACAATTGTATAAATAAACTATAAAAAAATAGCTTTGTAACTATACGCGTTTAAATATCTATTAATATTGATAATTTCTAATCATGAAAATTGGTATTTATTTTTATACCACATACAAGTTTTCGAGTTCGTAAAGTCGCTAAATTTATGCATAAAAACGTATTAAAATAGCATTATGATTGTAGTGTGTACGTATCAAAATTAACCTTGTTTATGTACAACTAGTTTAATTATTTTTAAATAATATTAATAATTTTAAATATTAAAATAATTTATAATGTTATTAATCATTACATTACATTATGGATACAGTATTAATATCCTTCACTAATAATTCTGGTAAGAATAGTAAACAAATCATTAAAATGTTTAATATTTTGTGTAGAAAGGACTTATCAAACATTCTTAAGATTAAAGTTCTTTGCATATTTAATGTTACATCATAAATCTTATGAAGTATTTATTATTATAGTAGTACAATATCATAAATATGAACAAGAATGAAGTAAAATATAAAAATGAAGTTAGCAAATAAGCGGAACATTGATTCTGATGGAGTGATTTATCGTTTGTACAGGGCCACTGAATGTAATAAGCGACGCGTTCTGCCACTAGCTAACCAATTTTGATTCGTTAATAGGTCGACCCGTATGACCTAAAGTGTCGGAGACAGTTAAACGAATTAATTTACCCATATTCTTACTGTGAATCTGCAATGTGTACTTTCCTAACACAGGAGCAAGTTTTTATTTATTGTTAATTGCGATTAGTTTTATTTGTGAAATATCTTTACCAGTTGTCTATACTATATTATTCTGTATGAGTTAAAAATAATACAATTTCAAAATATTTTCGCAATGTAGAAGGAGTCTTTACAGTTTTATCATAAAACAGAGTGAAATGAAGGTAATTTAAATTCTAATAAAAAAGAAATTTTTTCAAATATTTTCCTGATGTTATTATTTTAAGCATAAACCTTATATCTTGAATTTCCTGTAGGTATTTAAATCAGTGGTTTTCATTTTTTTACTTGCAACACGATAATACAACTTCGCTATCCGTTTTCACTACATATTAAAATTATTGCTATAGTGTGCATAATAAAATTATTATAATTACAAATAAATTATATCATATTTAAAAAAGTTTTCTTAATCTATTATCATATAGTGTAGCTATGATATACATGTGTAGACAGTACTAGATATTACAATACTAATAAATATGGATGAACCATGGAAATTAAGCTTTGAGTTTGTTACAATATTTTAAATATTTATATTTTAACTTGTACTTATTTTTAAACTTCTGAGATATTATATTATGAATATTTTCAATTAAAGTCGAATTTAAGGAATATATTACTTCATTAATAAGTTATTTTTTTCTTTAGATGTGATTATAATATTTCCAACTAAATTTGTAGAAATTAATAATGTATTCAAAATAGATTTAATTTTTGTATTCAAAGAAAAACATTAAGTTTTAAGTTACACAATTTTTGTTACACTATCATATTTAAGTATAGAAATACATATGTAGATATATTATAAATATATAATATGTGAATAAATTACTAAAAAAAAAATTAATTTTTCTTTTTCTTTTTTCAGCATTAAGTGCAGAGGTCACTAATTAATTTTCTTTCTCTTTGCAAGGATATGTTCAACATTCAGAATGAAATGGTATAATAATTATTTTGTTGATTATGAAAATGATATATTTTAATTCATTAGATATAACACAATTAAAATCATTTAATTAAATAGTCTAATTAAATCAATTAAATTATTGTGTTAGAGTATGTCAAGTTTTCATTTCTTTGATACTTGAATATAATGAAAAAAATGAAAAATTAAAATTAGCAAAAAATTAACAAAATAAAAGAAACATAATAAAATATAATAATATTAAACATAATTTAATATTAGTAGTAGTATATAAGAAAGTATAATAATATTAAACATAATTTATTAATTCTTATGTCAATTTTTTGTTGAGAATATTTTCCTTTTTACATATTCAATAATATTTTGCCAAAATATTAAATATCATATCCACTTTTATTTTCTTTTCTTTTGTCATTTAATAAATATTGTTTCTAATAATATTAAATTAAAATAAATCATATTATGTAAAAGTACTTTGATTAATGCACAATAGAAAATCTTATATTTAATGATAAAAGTATTTTACTACTACTATAATAAAAAAAATCATATAGTGTGGATATTAAAGCAATTTTAAAATATGAAGTCATCAATTAATTAATATTTCATGGAAAAGATTAATTGAATTTACAGATGCAGTGGTTTACCATTATGATATGTTTATATGCTGGAGTAGCAAGTGCAAGAACAGAAGAAGATCAACAAACATCTTCTTCAACTTCGATTACTGGAATATCTGATGGACTTCTAGAGCAATGCTTTTATCGACAACCCAACGAATGTCCTGATGTTAAGATAACAGGATGTTACTGCAAGAAAATCATTCTTGCCCATAACAATCCTGAAGGCAATGCTGTACTTTGTTGCAACTTGAATATTCAAAACTTTGAATTAGAACTGTCCTGTACAGGTTATTATAAAAATATTTTGTTATATTTATGATAAATTTTATAACACATTCATTAATATATTTCAAAATATTTATATAATATAACAGGATTTCCATCAAACATATCTTATATACACATAAGGAATGCAACATTGGATGTATTCAACGTAAGTCAAATTCGATGGAGAAGGCTAAAATCCCTTGCAATTACAGACGGTAGAATTAATAGAGTGAAAGGACAATTTCGAATGATGACACCAACGGTTTGTTTGAATCTTTCAAACAATGCTCTTATTGAAGTAGAAAATAATTCTCTTACTCGATTAGCACAACTCACTACTTTAGATTTATCTTATAATAATCTTACACATTTACCAGCTTTAAATACAATGAATGGCCGTGAGTTTTGGCTTGATATTTCAGGTACATAAACATTAATGATAAGCATCATTTCAATACTAACATTTTAAGATGTAATATAGTTTTGTATGTTTAGGAACAAATACACTTTGGTGTCATGACATTTATCAATATATTAACAAAACTGGAGAAAAGCAAATTAATTTCAATCATGAAAATGAAACTGTTTGTTCAGCTAGTAAAACTTGGCACTGGTTTAATACTACAGAGCAAGTTCCATTAAAACAAGTTCGATATCTTAGTTTGGTAATAGTTTGAAAATAAAAATTATATTTTTAAAATAAAATATTGTGTAGTATAGGTGACAATTTAATTACTGTTTTAAGTTACTATTTATTATTCAAACATTGTTCCATAAATTTACAGTTGCAAACAGAATGTCCTAAAGGAGATACATGGCAATGTCAGTGCAACTTCAAAAGATTGGATATTGTTGAAGGTAAACCACCAACTTTAGCAGTAAATGTAGATTGTAGCGGAATTCAAATTACTGAATTGCCCGAAAAATTACCTCGCAATACTATAGCGCTGAATGTATCATACAATAACGTACGTAAATTTTATATATTTTTTAGATTGTCTAAACTAACAGTATTCAATATTTTTATTTAGTTGATTGTTATTTGTTATTGGTTAACTTCGCTAAAAATAAAAATTTAATTGTATAAAAATATCATATGAAAATAGCAGTTTTTCTTAGATTGTAAGTAGCATGTAATTATTATCACTGATTGTTATAGATCACAGCATTGGATGATCTCAGCACTAATCCATGTTATGAAGATATAAGAGAGTTTTATGCTGACTATAATAATATATCATCTATAAATAAATTGGAAGGTTCTAAATTTTTGGACAACTATGCCTTTCTTAGTTTACGGTACAATAAAATTAAATCTGTAAGTTAAATGAAATGAATTTTAATAAGTAGTAAATCTGATTATTTCAAAGTTATGTATATTTTTGATATTTAGCTTCCCACATATATTTTAAGTCCTAACACTCATGATAAAAGTTTTATCAGTTCGCGATTAGTGAAGCTAGGAGGAAATGAGTTACATTGTGATTGCAATACAGCTAAGTACCTAAAGGTAATATTTAGGTTACAATTTAGACTTATAAATAATTTTATATACTTTTTTATACTTTATATTTTAAATTATAACTTAGGTATGGCTACAAACTCGTATATTAGATTCTGATGAAGTGTTATGCGAAAATGTAAAAGAAAAGGTTGTTGACTTAGAACCCTCAAAAATGTGTGTTTATCCTGGTGATTGGACAGACTATATTTATTATATTATTGCTACAGAGGTTGTACTTTTAATAAGTTTGACAGCTAAAGTATCTTATGATTATTGGATTTTTAAAACAGCAGGCTACCTTCCCTGGCCAGCAAATAAAATGCCAAAACTACCTTGTGATTGGCTGTGTGAAACCTAATAATCTCTTTTCTTAATTTTTCGTTTGAATATATAATTTACTAATAAAACAAATAAAATATATTTTAATACTTCCCAGAAAAATTACAAAATTTCAAATTTCTGTATTTTATTAGGAATATATATTTTTATACATGTATTTTATATGCAAATGCATGTAAAAATATGCTATGGAAATCTTAAACTGAACAGTTATTTTGAATCATTATATTTTTTACAGAAGTATATAATTACTTAAATACTAAATGTATCATGTATGTAGTAAAATGAAACTATTCAGATTTAAGATTTTAGATAGCAATTTGAGTAAGTGCCATATTTTTTACGTCCTTTTTATCATTAATGTTCGAAAGTGCAATACAAAATTCATCTATATTTAAATTTATATAACGTATATAACTTACATCTATATACATATGTAGAAAATAAAAAGTTGACTAAAGTTGATGGTAAGCCGAGAAATTAACGTCATTTTTAATAAGAAATGATCATTATTGATCAGAAATGATTTATTTTATAAATAATAATTAACGTTGGTTTAATGCAATTAATTCAAGATGTATATTCATATAAATCAATTTATGTAGAACAGTCCATATCAAAGTCATAAATTTAATATATTGACTGTGTGTAATAAAAATGTGATATACTTTTATTAAAAGTTACTATTTGTATTCTATATTAATTATTATTTTATACTTCAAATACATTGATATAATTTGTAAAGAGTATATATAACATTGTTATTTATTTTAATGTATATTATACATATTTTTAAGTAATTCAAATATAAAATTAATTGAAATTTATTTACTTATAATTTATATTTTATTCTAATTGAACCTTTTTATCTCAAAATTTATAAAATTAAGGCAAATATAAAACACAAGAATAAAATGTATGATATTTAATGTACTGATTGTTTAATAGTTTATTTTTTGATAGAGATTTTTTTAAGTTAATCAATTTAATATATATAAACGTTAAAAATTTACATTTTTATATATAATGGTTAGTTATGTTTAAAATGTTTTATCGTTCATACAATATACTTATTTTACACATACATATAAATATAAATTTTTTAGTGGTTTATTTGGTTTTTGTTTTTTAATTATTATCTATTATTTTTTTACTCTTGCAATTATTTTTGTTGCATATTATTTCTTCGTATTTCTTAATTTCTTTTTATTGTATTTATATACTGTTTTCCTTTTTATTGAGCTTTGTATTTTGCCTATTTATTTATTTTCCAAATGATATAGTAATCAGGCACATTAATATGCTTACATAACATCATGCTTATGCTAAATTATCACTTCTATTATCGACTTCTTTCGATATTTTTAATTTCTTTTGAACAGAAATAATTGTATTTCATTTATTTTCTTTCTTTTCTTTTATTTTCTTTATTCATTATCTTATTATTGTTATATTTATTTATTAATTCGTGTTTATTTTTTGAAGTGTTTGCAAGGACTTTTCTGTAATATACAAAGGAAGGATTATAGATATAATGTATACTGTCTATGTAAATTTTATATTATTGTAAAAGTAAATGTTGCAATAATATACCTTTTCTGTTCCTTATTATATACACGTTTAAATGTTGGCATGGTTGTTATTTTTTCTCTAGTAGGAGCTTTATGTTCAAGTTTACGTCTTTCCTTTTTACTATGTTTTTTCATAGCTAACATATAATCAGGAACGTTACATCCAGATTCTTTCATGACAGTAGCTATACTATAATATTAAAAGCTACTTGTAGATGTTTACCAATTATACTTTTTTATATTTTAACATGACAGTTTAAAAGCGTTTTATTTACCTTCTTAAATTTGTAGTATCTTGTTCAGTGAAAAAAGTAATTGCTTTTCCTTCATGTCCAGCTCTACCAGTGCGACCTATTTTGACAAATATGTATTAAAAATATGAGAACATGTATCTTCTCATTAAATTTAAGAATACATACCAATTCTATGAACATAAGAAATAGCAGATGGAGGAAAATCATAATTAATAACAAGATTTACTCCCTTAAAATCAATACCTCTTGCCATTAATTCTGTACATATTAAAATCCATATTTTTCCCTCTCTAAAACAACGAACGACATTGTCTCGCTAAAATGATGAAAGTCACTGTATTTAATATCACTTGAATAATAAATAAATTATTTATATAGAAAATACCTGCATTTGTGTTCTATCAGCATGAATAACATCAACATTAATTCCATCATATATAAGTTCATTGAATAATTCTTGTGCTCTTTCTTTGCTTTGTACAAATACTAATACAGGTGGCAATACTCCCTTTCTCAAATAAAATTATATGTAATACTTACAAATATAGATTTTATAAATATATTAATAAAGATGATTTACCTTTTGAATAATATTTCTAAGTGCCACAAGTTTCCCTCTTTCTGTGCCAACAAATAAGAGTTCCTGTTCTACTAAATTGGTTACAGCATTTCTATGATGAATATAATATGAATAAATATTTGTTTTTGAGTAAGTAGTATAAAATTTTTTATACACTTAAAAAAAAAAGAGTAAATTAAACCTGTGTCCAATGGTAATTGTTATAAGACCTTTCAAATTACGTCGGCACCATTTGGTGACTACAGGAGTATTAGTTGCACTGAACATTGCTTTATGTAATTTCTCATTTGTACATGATTTTGAAATAATTTCTAATTGCTTTCTAAAACTTCTTGTTCCATCTTCAAACAGTTTATCTACTTCATCTACAATTAACCACTCAACGCTATAAAATTTAGATATGTATTATTAAATAAAACTATATTATTAAATGCTACTATATTATTACTAAATTATTACTTATTAAAAGAAATAGCTGGTGGATTCTGATTCAATAAATATATTACTCTCTTTGGTGTAGTGATTAATATGTCTATAATAAATAAAGATATAATTACATATTATTAAATTACTTTGTATAATTTTTTATAAATTTTATACTAACCAAATTTTTGTGAACTTTTGGGTCCATACTTGTTTAATGCTTGATTTATTTTACTTATAATATGTACTCTAAAATTATATCCTTCACTGAGACGCAAACATTCTCTATATGTTTGTTTTGCTAATTCTCTTGTTGGACTTAATATTACAGCTCTAAATCCTCTCTTTTCTGGACCACTCAAATAATGAATTATAGGTAACAAAAATGCAACTGTTTTACCAGATCCTGTTGGAGCACAAGCTAATATTTGTCTACCCTATTTTAATGATAATTGCAAACAAATTAATATTTAAACTCTTCCTGAAAATATTAATATATCTAAAATCTTAGTAAATATTACATATAACAATTTACTTGTAACATGGCAGGTATAGCTTGCATTTGGATTGGAGTAGGGCAATCATAACCACAATTTATAATATTATTTATTAATTTTTTAGGCACACCATAAACTGTTAATAGATCAATAAATTTTTCAATAGGTTCGGGTATACGATTTCCTGTGACATTTATACGATACTGATTACGAAGTTGATTAATCTAAAAAGATTATAATTTTAAAAAGTACTGTTATAATTATTACTAATTAATTTATAATGATAAAGTGCTCAAAACCTTTTCTTGTTCTAGCTTTAATTGTTTTTCTTCTGTTAAAGATATTTTAGATTTTTTATTCCAATTTTTAGGAATGGTCATTCCATTGAGTAATGTTAGTTCATAAGTATTTTTAGTTTCCTTCTCAATTTCATCATGTTTTCTTTTCTTGCATAGCGATGAATTACTTATACTATTTTTTTCATTTTGTATATTTTCAGGTTGTTTCCCAACAAGCTGCAGCAAGTAAAATTACATTATTATAAGTTTGTCACATAATCCAAAATTTATTTAAAATATATTTAAATCTCTAAATGTAACAAATTATTCTCAGAGAATACCTGAAATCTTTCTGCATCTGTTTGAAAACGTTTTTTATCGAATTTTACACCTGTAGAAATCTTTTGAAAAAGTTCATATGCATCCATTTTTTTCTATCTTATTTAATAAAAATTAATTGGACTGTATATTTTTATAGAATTATGACTTATTCGTATAGAATTATAACCTTCGTTATTATAAGAAGCTGTAAATAAATTTAATAATGTAACACATATAGACATAGTAGCATTCCACTTATCATAGTAACTTATGAATTACCAACGTTGATATGTGAAATAGATTGTCGATAGAAGTTCACCTGTTAAGTCATTAACAAAAAGAAACGTGTCTACTTATCTGCTATTAAGGTAAACAGTAATCAGTTTGATTTCCATAATAAATGAAATGGATAACTAATGAATTTTTATTCTTGGAAATTTATTTAAATATAGTATCGATATATAAATTATATGAATAAAATAGAAATATATATTCACTTTTTAGGCATTTAGATAACATAAAATATATACAGTAATTGTTTTCTAATGTTTATATTATTACTGGATAAAATGATTACAAAATACAGAATAACAGTAAGTAGCAATGAATCCCTGAAATAAATTTGTTAAATGAATCAATTCTAAAAACATTAAAATGTGTTATAAAAGGAAATTATTACATTATATTGTATTTATTTGAGTATTATTTTCAATTACACATACATATATTTATGCAATTAAATTACAACTGTTATATTTATTTACATATTATTGTATAAAATAATAATATATTAAAAAATTGATATATGTAAATAAATAAATAAGTTAATATATATGAATATATGTATATATGTACACATATGTGAATGTGCAATCCTAAACTCTAATATATCTTTAATGTTTTATTCAATCTTTTTCAGATTATCATGTAAAAATAAAATATCATTTAATTATTTTGTTTACGTCTTTATAATAAGAGAAACAGTATGTTTATTAACAATATTCTTTTTATTGGTATGCAATTTAATACTTTGCTTTTTATCTATTTTAAGTGAGGGTTATTTCCTCCTTTTTTTATAGTCTGCTTTGAATAATATTTATTTTCTTTAAGTACATATTTAATATCATTTTTAGCAGATCTATTTAAAAAGTTAAAAATATGGAAGGTCATTCATATGTTTCATGTATCAAGATTAATGGAGTTCCTATTTTACCACCAATGGTATGTTTATTAATTAATATCAAATATAATATTAAACATAATTATGATTTAAAATTCATCTCATAATAAATTCTATCTCTTTTTAGGTAACTAAAGATATTAAACAAGAAATATCTAATTATAAAGAAAGTGCAATAAATGTAGAAAAAAAATTAGCTGTTTCACGTACTATAGGAAAGGTGAAAATAGAATTAAAAGATATAAAGTGTAAAAAAAAAGTTCACGATTCTAAAGAGAATTTAATTAATTTTGAATATGAAAATGGTAATTATAATGAAACTAAAATTAAAACTAATGTAGATGTAAATGATATTCCAATAAGAACTTCAAAAAGTTTTTATGAAAATTTAGAAAAAACCTTACAGTGTAGTAAAAAGTTAAACATGAGATGTAAGTCTGAAAATCAGATAAATTTGGCTCCTGATCTTATTTCAAGATCAGAATCAATAATTGCTGATATTGACACAGATTATTGTTCAAATGAAACAATTCCAATAAAATCTGCAACTACTGAAACAATACCAGAAATTTGGAAACCACAAGTGCCTAAAACATTAAATATCATTCCATTGACACTAAACAATGTTCCTTGTAAAGGAATTAAAAAATGTCAAGAAAGTGATTTAGATAACTTGGGAGATACTCCTAAATTAGTACGGCAAGGTTCCTATATATTAGATACTCCAAGTCCTATATTATTGGCACACATGCAAATGGAGCTAGCTAGTTCAACTTGTGCTCCTTGTTCAGAGTATATCCCAACATCATGCGCGAACACAAATCAACGAAAAGAGTGGAATGTTACACAAGCTAAAATTGAGTGGGAGTATGAAGCTAAAAATAAAAAATCTATTCCTACAAGAAGTTATTCTAATACTGGTCATGCAATGTGTAAATCTATTTCTTTACAAACAAAACCTGAATGTTCTTTTACAATGTATCCATCAACAAAATCAGTTGATTGCATTCAAACAATGTTAACTGATAAACATATTGATGGAAGTAATACGCAAATTGATCACAAGAAAAATCATAGTATATATAATAATGATGAAAACAGACGAAGACTTGAAACATGGAATGAATATAACAGCTCTTGCACTTTTAATCCAGCGTATAAATTTGGAGGTTCCTTGGAAGATTTAAACAAGCATAATAATAAATCTACAACTGATAAATTGACAGCGAAGCTCTCGAAAAACTTAGATATACAAGATCCTATATCTAGACTGAAATCTAATATTGCATCTGATAAACTTTTAACAGTTTATAAAAAAGTACAAGAAATGCATAAAAAACAGATGGCAGAATTAATGTTTCGACAACATAGGGAACAAACATTACTTCAAAAAGAATTTGAGAAACAGCAGTTACTTTTACTGGCTGAGATTAAGAAATCCTTTCCAGAAATTTCAGTTTCATTATTTCCTGAAAATATTTTATCTCCTTCTTTTAATCAAATTACAACTGATAGTGACAACCTTTGTGAAAATAATAATAATAATATGCAAAGTGTTAATAGAATAAAACATAATTCAGAACAAGGGGATGAAATAAAACATTTACAAGATGATAATATAAAAATGGTTCCATGTCCATTAAATTATATTTATTCTGAAGTAAATTATGATAATTCTTCTTGTTCTTCCAAATATTCATATACAGTTCAGTCATCAGAGACATCATCAAATGTGAATAATTCTATAACAGAAATAAGAGAAGGAGATATGGAGATACAAACAAATGATACAAAAAATTATAAAAAAAAATTATTGGAAGAAAGTGACAAATGTAAACGTCCAAACGTTAGTCGAGAATTATTTCCTTTAGATAGCAAGACTATTCATGTACCAATCCTTGATAGCACAATATATGAAACTAAACATGTAAGGAATTTATATATATGTATTCAAATTTTCAATTTGAATAACAATGAAAATTACAAACATTGTTACAGATAAAAGCAGCAAATGTAATAAATGCATATGTAAGAGGCTATTTAGTACGTAGAATAATGCGGACTGAACGTGTGATTGCTTTGAAAAACACATACAAAGAAGCTTTACACTACATACTTAAACTTCACATTGATGCACCTCTTAACCGTTCAGAATTTAATTTTTTACATCGCCTTCAACTACAGGTAATACTATCAAGGATTTAGTAGAAAAATATTTCTTAATTCTTTTTTTATAATATTAGAAAGTTGATCTGTCAATACATTATCTACTTTTTATTAAAAAAAAGCTACTCAAAAATTTAAAAAGAAAATACCCTTTATTTTCATTTCTTTAATTTCATTATCATTATATAATAATAGCAAAGATATAGTACAATGTAAAAAATTTTTCATGTTATTTTAGTAATAAAAATATTTAAATATGGCTTTGTAAAATTTTTTATTTTATTGTTATTAATATGTAAAGCAGTTGTTATTTACAATATGAGCATTTTTAAAACCAATATATTTATTGAGTTTTGTGATTTCAAAAAGTGTGATGCAGCTTCTATGAATGTAGTGGAGTTGTTTGCACAAAATCCTCAGAAAAGAATGCAAATAATAGCACAAGATCGTGAAATTAAACAATCTCGCATAGAACGCCCAACATCTGCAAGATCATATTCATTTGCAACTCAACGAACTTTGGCCAGGAAAAAACTGAAGGAGTATGACTCAGCATAGTAAAATTTATTTTGTTCTTTTAGAAAAATTTTAATTAATTACTAAACTGTAGAATGTCATGTTATTGAAATAAAATATATTATTTCATTATTTCCTATTGTATAATTGCATTAAATGAATTTAGTTATATATATAATTTCGTTGCAAATTAACTTTAATATTATAAAGTTTATAATTAACATTAACTATACTTTGTATCCTTAGTGTTTAAGTGATTTTTCTAATGCAAACGGAAACTTTAAAATAATTATTTTTGTCGAATAGTTCTTATTTTTATGTTAGCGTAACATATTGCTATTAAAATCTTTAGCTATAATTACATATAGATACTAATTCATATGTTGGTTGTTTTTTCTATTTTCAGGATGGAAGACTATCAACCAACTTCGTTCGTTCGTTCATGTTTGTCGAGATCAAGATGTCAAACCTGGACTTCAGATATTAAAGAAAGACTTATCTCTTCAAATATTTTATGTAAGTTATTTCTTTCATCATAACTGTTGAATTATAATATTGATCCTATCAATTGCAATTAATATTTCATAATTTGAATTTTATTTTACAGATCAAAGTATTAAAAGAAGTACTAGCGCTGGAACTGTACGTCGACCATGGCGGTAAATTTATAATAGTGCCTTTTATTACTGGTTTAGTACATGTACATTACGTTATATGTAAACAAATCCACTTTGTGCCTGCATTTTTTAATAAAAAATTTATTTCGTTTAAGATAGTGGTTTTTATATTCGAATTAATTATTTTTGCAATAATTATTATCATACAAACACTTTATCTTTACTTGTTAATATAAATTGAAACTTTACAGAACAGGAACAAAAACAGTAATGTTCAATTGTTATTGTTATTGTAATATTTAATATTTTATAAATCGATAGTAAAATAACGATATAGAAATGTTTCCACAGAAAGATCAATTCGTACGATCACTTATGCGCGCATATAGCTATGCGCCTGCGCGCATATATACGATCCATAATGAAACGAATACAGAGTAGTGTGCAGTAATCAGAAGAATATTTTGGCTTATTTTATGGTACATTTTAGGTTGAAAATTAAATTTCAGTAATTTATTTTCGTATCAATTATACTTACAGTAATTGTGAATGAGTTTTAACGACAGAACCATGTGTGATAATGTGAATAACAATCCATTTGCTGGATTGTTTTCAACTATCAACGATGCCGTGTCATTCTCCTCTCAGAATCAGGCGATTATCAATGAAACTAATAGAATTAATTTTGTTGTGCAATTTGAAGAAAAAGATGTTGATGATGTTACGAAAACTACAAATTTTCAAGATTCTAAAGATTTTAGTATCGACAATCAGGTTAACCATCTGCTTGGCGATATATTTGGTATAACATTACACGAAACAGAAGTAAATGAACATCAAAAACGTAGACTAGTTTTCATTAATGTCGATTCGATTGAACAAGCAGTTTTTGAACGATTAATGTTATCTGATATTGAATCCAAATTAATACCTACTAAAAATTCTCAAGAAATTGTTAGTGATTCTCATACTACAGAGAAAGAAGTAATACTTTATTTGTTTGAAAGTTATTGTCGATTACAACAATATCAAAATAAAGAAGAATTTTCTCATATCCTCTTCAAAATAAGTCAAATTATATTACAAAACGCAAGTGTTGCATTACAAGAGCCAGAATTGTTTGAAGAACAAGAGGTATATGAATATACATTTACATATGAAATAATTATTTACATTTATCTTGTAAAGTTAAACATAATAGATTTAAAACAACGTAGTTTAACATTTTTGTTTTTTATAGATTCATGATCAGCTTATTGTATTATGTATGAATGTAACTGAGCCTAAACCAGAATTTATATTATTTATCAATGGTATTGTTTCAAAATTACAAACTGAAAATGAAAAAAATGCTACAGATGCAATAGCTGTATCTTTTACTCCTGTTCTTGATATAATTCATAAAGAAGCAGCACAAAGTAATCTTGTCCATTTCCGTCCATATTGGTTTACTATATTAAATATTTTTTCTTCGATAGAACCATTAGCAAAATTAATAATTGATCATAGTACCCCCAAAAGTAGTCAAGGTCAAGCATATGCAGATACATTATTGGGTGCACTTTTTAGTTTGAGCTGCCTACCAAAAAATGAAGAAGAGCCATTTGATTTTTTTCAGAAGCCATTGCAACAGGCAAGTAAACTATATATAGAAGAAACAGAAAAAGTTGAATTCTATATAAAATAATATTTATTTACATTTTCTACCATAGTTTTCAGCAATTTCTGAAGGAGATATTTGGATAGCCTTAGATAAATTAACCGAATCATTACAGAAAGTTTTTCATTTATTATTAAAGTGTTCACCCGAAGTTCAACATTTAACTTTACAGTGGATAGGCAATTGTCTACACTCTAATGCAAATAGAGGAAAAATTTGGAATCCTCAAAATGATTTGAATTTTACCTCAATGCTGTGTGTTTCTGATGGTTTTATGCTAAATTTAGGGAATATGCTATTGCGTCTTTGTCAACCATTTTGTATTAAAGAAAATAATTCTAAGGTACCTAAAATTGATCCAACATACTGTGCTGTGGATGTAAGTTAATTCACAAAAAGATTAGACATTAAAATTTAAAAAGTGTGGTATTTTATATAAATTAATTATTAGGTTAATGATCAGGATGATTGTGTAAATCCAATTGTACATTTAAAAGGAATGTCCTCAGAAACTTGCTTAATACCAACATCAGAGGGTATTTCCAGGCCAGTTGCAAAAACATTTGGTTTTATTACTGAATGCTTCTTTTTAACTCACAGAGCATTGGACCTTGGATATAGAGTAGTATCAGACAAACTTTTAAGGTTTTCGAATTCTTTGTTTATTTTTATCAACTAAGACTTGTAACAAAAAGATATTGATAATTAAAGTAATTACATTAAAAATTTTAGAACAAACCAAAGTTTGGTAACAATCCAAAGAATATATCAGAATGCACAAAATGATGGTAGATCAGAAGCATCTAAAATAATAATTCAACGTATGGAAGGAAAAATGCAAAAGTACATATTTATGGTTATTAGGGATTAGATTCTATAAAAAATTCATATTGCATTTATATGACGATTTATATTATGATTTATTATACACAATCTATATTTTAAATTTTAGGTATTTATCATTAAGAGCAAGCCTTTTTGCACCAGAGATGTTAGAACTGTTAGCAAAGTTTCATGCAACAACAGCATTTTGGTTAGTGCAAGTATATTTGAATGATGTAAAAATTGGAGGAAAGGAAAATGATTACATTCCAAAGGAATGTAAAGTTGTGACGTTTCCTTTGCCAGAAACTGTTCCAGATACTTTAAGGTATTATTTTAACATTTTATTTTTTCTCAGCTATATTAATAATTACTTTTGATATTTAACAATGTTATTGTTTTTACATAGATGCATTCCTGAATTCGTAGTAGAAAATACCATTAGATTTTTGTATTTATTACGTCGTCTAGATACAAGGGTTTTTGAACAAGAAGGGTTATCTTTTTTGACGCCTGTGCTAACAGAGGTGAGTTAACAACAATATGCTATATAAAAGTACATGCAATTGAGTAAAATAATTGGATGTGTTATATTAGATCATAGTATTAATGGAATCTCAACAACGTTTATATAATCCTCATTTACGTGCCCGTCTGGCAGAAGGCTTAGAAGCTCTTTTACCTACAAGTGATGAAACTATGAACTCTGACACATCAACAATAAGCTCATATGCATTCTATAGGAAGCAATTATTTATTATCCATCCTTATAGGCAATATGTATGTAACATGTTCGGAATACATAAAATGGAATATTTGTTTTTTCATAAAAATTTATTTTATTATATGTTATACATTTAGATTGTTCCAAATTTACTTAAAGTATTTGTGAGCATTGAGATGACTGGACAAAGTGTACAATTTGAACAAAAGTTTAATTATCGGAGACCAATGTATGTTGTCATGGAATACTTGTGGAAATTACCAGGACATCGTAATAATTTTATGTAAGTGAAAAATAAAAATAACATACAGTTGTAATTGTTTATTTGATTTTATATTTTTAATTATTATTTATACGTTATTAGAAAAGTAAGCTTAAAAACTTGATGGTATTTTATAATAACAATTTATTCTAGATAATTTTACAATTTAATATCTGTTTCATAGTTCTTTAGCGCAAGAAGCAGAAGCTAATATGGAAGCAGCTCAGCCGCCATTATTTTTGCGTTTTATAAATCTTTTAATGAATGATGCAGTATTTCTGTTAGATGAAGCTCTTTCAAGTATGGCTCAATTAAAACAATTAATTCAAGCAAGGTATTCAATTTGATTATTATTTATTAATATAAATAACAAGATCAAATTTTTGAACTGCTAACTTCCTCACCAATTTTGATGATTTTTAGATATGTTGTAAAGAACATTATTTCGAACAATTTTTTACTTTGGCAGTTAGTCCTAGTTTCCTAGATACTAGCAAAAAAATATCAGTATTATGAGTTCTGCTATATGGGTCTATTTGTAAAACAACAATCTGCATGCTTGTTACCCAATGGATGAAATTGCACAAACCATTTAAATCTTCCTATTGGCAAATTATTTATATAAGAGCCTACCGCCAATTTTTTCAGTAGAAAAAATTCTTCGAAGTAACATCTTTTACAAAGGATCAAATAAAAATCATTAAAATTGGAGTGGAAGGTTCAACAATTTTATCGATTAGTTATGTGCACATATACATTTTTATAAATTTTGTATAAGTTTTATATTTGGTAAATAAAATTTTAACATATTACTCATATTATTTCAATTAATAGAGAAAGTGGAGAATGGGATAAGCTACCACAACATGAACGTGATCAACAGGCTCGTTATCTGCTACATCTAGGAATGATTGCGCGATTTGATAATATATTAGGCAGAAAAACTATATATACATTAAAAATGTTAACTACAGAAATAAAATCCATTTTTTGCCATCCAACAATGGTGGATCGCATTGCTTTAATGCTTAATTATTTGTTGCTTCAGTTGGTTGGGCCAAATAAAAAAAATCTGAAGGTAGATACTATAGTCAAGTCATATTCTTGCTTAATTTATACAAAACTAAAATAAATCCAAATGTAAAATTTCAATAAGTTATTTTAATTCTAGGTTAATGATCAAGAAGAATATGCATTCAATCCAGCAATTTTAGTATTAAATATATGCGAAATTTATATAAACCTTAGTCAAAGTGAATCTTTTACACTTGCTGTTTCACAAGATGGTCGTTCATACAGCCCAGAACTTTTTAAATTAGCTGATAATGTTCTTGGTAAGTATTTATACATAAGTATAAGTATTTCTAGAAAACATTAAATATATAAGATATATTATAATTCATTTATAATCTTTATAAGTATTACTGAAAATGTAATATAATTTTAGTTCGAATCAGAGCTGTGGGTATATTAAGTGATTTGGATCAATTTGCAAGAAATGTAGAAATAGCTGCAAGCCATAAAAAAGAAGAAGACGAAATTTTGGTCAACGCACCCGATGAATTTTTTGATCCAATTATGTCCACCTTAATGACAGATCCTGTCATTCTTCCATCATCAAGAAAAACTATTGATCGTCAAACCATTGCAAGGTATTTCTTTATCATTGTAATTATTCAAACTATATATTAAAATAAAGTATATTTAATTATTTTAATTTTTAATTTTGTTTAGGCACTTATTAAGCGATCAAACCGATCCATTCAATCGATCTCCACTTACCATGGATATGGTGGAACCAAATGTTGAACTACAACATAGAATACAAGAATGGATTCAACAAAAAAAGTAAAATAAAGCGAGAAATTGCCATTGATTACCAAAGAATAAAACAGTCGATAAACTATAATATACAGAGTATGATTTTCATAAATTTATTACTTAAATTTAAATTTGCTATTGAGAATTTAATTCTTATAATTGCAGCTGATGAATATAGTAAAATATGATCAATGGTAAAGCCGATATTTTATATTCTTTGATTTAAATTTTATCGTTTTATAACTTACAAAAAGATCTATGTATATACATATACAAATTCTACACATAAGCGCGCGCGTGCGCACACACACCCACACACGCATACACACACCCACACACGCACGCATACACACACCCACACACGCACGCACACACACAGAGTCACATTTTTTGTATCAAGTCCTGCATATACGTACAGTAGTAGTACATATAATAATGTAGTGTCTTGTAGTAGTACATATAATAATGTAGGCATAAAGCTAAACATTATTATTACTGTATAATAAGTGTAAAAAGTACTTGTTATGAAGTTTTATCTGTGTAAGTGTTGTAGACGAGTGTGAAATAAAGTTAATTTCTTCCATTCAAATAAACAATACTCCCAAATTTTATAGGTGAATTGTTTTAAAATTGACTCTTTAATAAAAAAAAGAAAAGTTAATAATATATTTATATAATTGCGAATATGTATGTTATTAGTAACAAATATTTGTTAACTACTGTTAAAGTTTTGTAAGTTTTATAAAACTTATAAGATATAAAATGTTGTTTGCATTTACAAAATACTGACAAGTTCATTAAAATGAGTAATATACCATAGTGATTGCTGTTTAACACTTTCTCTGACTACATTTCCTCCATATCCTGTATAATAAAAGTAATATAATTAAATAAAACAATGAAAATTATTCGACTGTAGTAAAAGTAAATATAAACAAAGTCTAGGTAATAGAAATTTACCTATAAATAAATCTACTACTGAAATTGTTTCTAAATCTGTTGCTCCATCTCCAATGTGAACAATAGTTTTAAATTTCTTTTCATTTTTAAGATACTTAATTACTTTTACTTTCCCACCATTCACTGCTGTAGGTTGATCTTCGTCAAATCCTGCATATTCTCCTATAAATAAATTTACAAGACATTTGAATGTAATATATGAAATTAATCAAAGATTGATATAAACAAACAGTTACCTGTATAATAGAATTTAAGCTTATTTGTAAAACAATTTTCTAATGGAATATCAAGAGATGTGGCAACTGGTGCAATTAAAGAATAAAATCCACCAGATATTAAAAATACTTGCTTTCTACGATTTTGTAATGCTGTTATTAAAGTTCTAAAAGTTTCATAATAAATTAAAAATTAAATAATTTGCTTAGTTTAATTGTGAGAATTTTTCATTGAATTAAATTATTTCTTACTTAATTCCAGGTGAAAGTTTTAGTGTGCGAGAAGTTAAAAATTCCTTTATCTGCATAAAGCTTGGTTGTATGATTTTTAATCTTTCTATCAAAGATTGTTGATATGACATATCTCCTTGCATCGCTTTATTTGTTCTAGAATCATTTTTGAATATGGATAGTGTACATTAATGCGGTTATCCATATGTAAAAAAGATAGCATAAAAAAATGTTAATCTTTTAAATAGGAAAATGTAAATAAATAAAGGTAAAACTTACAAAGCAACAACATCGTTTTCTTTTTTACAAAACTTTGCAAGTTCGTCAATTCCTTCTTCTTGTATCACAGTTGAATCTACATCAAACGTGACTGCATCCGCGTTTTTCCATATCAATTTCAACTCGTTTAGATTTGCCATCTATTTTGTAAAATACAACAAATGTTGCACCCAATTTAAAGATGTTTTATCGTTATTAAGTGTCAAACGTAGCAGCTAAAAATTAAACTTGTTTGTTCTTAAATAATTGAAACATTAAATATATAAATATTATATATATATATATAACTGTACATACATACTTATGCCATTGGTCAACTTTGATCAGCGATAAGAAATTTTTATTATGTAAACAGTATTTATTAAAAGAATTTTTTGCAGTGTTTTTCATTTATATTAATATAGTATGGTATTTAAGATTTTTTATACCTCATAAGTATTCAAAATTTTAATATCTTTTAAGGTTAAAACATCATCAGTATATTATACAATTGACTGGAATAATAATGCATTACTATACTCTTAAAAAAAAAGATAAAAATTGAAACAATTGATAATTATTTAAGAACTGCATAATTTTATTTATATTAAAAAATAATAAAAAGTTATACCATTATTTTTATTTCAATTTGTATGAAAATAAGAGAAAAAAGAAAAAACATAATATTCAAAGTTTCGAGGAAAATAATCAAATGCAAGATCCTCGTAGTATCGATAAATTAAAATACTTGATAGCATAAAACTAAAGAAAAGATCGTTAATTACATGATCGATGATATTACATGTAATCATAGGCATGATATAGATGATAAACACATTATCAATTGTATTTTTTTATTTTAAGACTCGAAGACTTAAATTTCACTACCATTTTAGTATCGCTTTCAACATTACCGATTCAGTATAGGATATTAATAAATTAGTAGTATTTGGCATTACTATGAAATATGATTATGAAATTAAAAATAAGATATAAAACAGAATATCTTATAATTGCAGATGAAATATAGTATTAAATATTTTTTCACTATTTTTACATCTTTATGCAGGCTACTCTTGTATGTTACACGTATTCATGTTCCGAGTGAAGTGCTGCACTCTAGTTACCGATAGTAATGTTATTAAGATCGACGAACGGCTACATGTTGAGAAAATGAAAAAGGGTAGTTCGAAGTCGAGACCAAAGCTATTCCATAATAGTATTCGGGTGGTATTCGTACGGTATTGGAACGAGCGCGTGTGCGCTGTGATCAACAGAGGCTCGAAAAATACAGAACAGTCGGTTACGAGCCTCGCGATTCATCGGGTGATCATTATTAGGAACGTGAACTTTTACGATCGCATTGACAACGATGATTTTTCAAAGGAAAATACTGCCAGTTCGATTTGAAAAGAACAAAAATATTGAAAAAGATTAAGAATTTTTATTTAACTTCTTTGAAAATAAAAGGAAAAGAAGTCACAGCAAAACGGGGTAAAGGAAAGAGAAACAGGGTAAAATAAAATTCAATATAATTTTGAACGTGGAACAAACGCATACAAATAGGAACCAACGATGAAGCATTTTTGTACAATTATTCGCATAATTTTGTTCGTTCTAATTTATCGATTGTTAGAAATTAATGGTGAAAAAATGGGAAGAAAAGAAACTTCATTTTGTCATCCATTCCCTGACATTATTTTGGAACGAAATAAAATCAATAGATTTGAAAATGGAAGTTTAATGTATAATAAATTGATGTATCCTGCTGGGTCATATCAAATATTTGGAAATAAAACATATGGATGCATATGTAATTTGCAAGCATGTCTGAAGAAGTGTTGTAAACAAAACGAGATTCTAGGGGAAGGCGATCGGCCAAACTGTACTATTTTACCGAATGTGACCTATACTTCAGATCTCGTTCTCGAGCAACATCAACTCGCTACCGAGATTCAAGGGATATCCGGTATCAGTGACTTATTTGTTCTTGTGGAGGATATACAGTGTCCCGAGAATAGGGACAGGTACATGCTCGAACCGAAACATTTCAAAGAAGATGCGTTCATACTGCAAGCAAACGGTACACTTCAAACTTCGATGGGTAAATTTCTAGCATGGAGTTACTGTCTTGAGTGGAAAGAATCTTTCGAAAATGTCGTCGCTTTGGTTTGTCTATCTACAGATAGACAAATAGATTCTTCAGACACGGAGAAGACTTTTAATGTCGGAATCATGGTTTCTATTCCGTTTTTTTTCGCTACTTTCTTTGTGTATGCGATTATTCCAGAATTGAGAAATCTTTATGGAAAGACCCTAATGTGTTACGTGGCTTGCTTGGTACTTGCCTACACTTTCCTTGTCCTGGCTAAATTGTTTTACTTCAAATTCGTCTTCTGTTCCACAATAGGTAAGCAATTTGACTCTATGACATTCTCTCTCTCTTTCTCTCTCCTTTCCCCTTTCTTTTTTTCTTTCTTCCCCCCCCCCCCTCCAACCCTCTCCCTTACTCAACATTCATTTCTTTTCTCATTTTCGTTTCCGTTATTATCCGAATGCATTATTATGCACGTTATCATAACCACGATATCAATTGTCCTATCACTACAAATTTTCAGCGCACCTTTTCTACGATAATCTGTGATAAAGTTAAAATATCTAGAGGCAGTCGCGAATAAATAAGATAATTTATCGAATTCTCTCTTGTGTTACATATTGATCGCTTATTCGAAATATGTTGAATAGCAAAACCACTCGGTTTTCTTATATTTTGAAAAATTTCGTTACATTGTGTAAAAAAAACAAGATAAAACAGAGAGTTAGGGCGATCAAGATTCATAAAATTTTTCCACATTTTCAAATAAAGCAAGTATTAGAAACAAACGAAATGAAAATACACTATTTTAATTGAAGAGTTCATTGAATCAATGTTACATTCTTTAAGTAATATCGTTTGAATTGTGAAATGCCTGTGTCTAGCTTATAATACAGTAGCTAAGAAAAGAAAATTCACCTAATTACAAAATTTTGACTTTAATGAAAGTTTCTATGCATATAAATTATAATGAATTATACATAAAACAATTTTTTTGTGAACTGGAAATCTCATTCAGGAATGAAATTAATAGCTAAAGTTTCTGTACTCTTTTCGTATTTTGAATACGAAAGTCTATTGCTTCTATGTTACTTCTGCAAGTGTACCTCCGATAAATATTAATTAATTAATCTATATTTAACAATAACAGTTATAACTTTCTCTTTAAATGCTTGCTTTAGTCTCTTTCACACTTATTATTTTATATTATTTAAGTTAAATTCAAATCCAAAATCGTCACTATAAATTATAGACTATTAAAATTATGTAATTGAAGCTAAAAAAAATTTATCTCTTTTAAAGCGTATTACTTATTAATCTAATTGAATTGTCGGTTTCCGAGCATATTTTCTTTTGGTATACATTCTATATGTCTGCCTTATATATTACAAACTTTACGAAAATTTAATGCAAAAACGTTTTCTCTGTTCTCTTATCTGTAACTTTTTTGTTTTAGGTAGAATTAATTTAATTAACTCTATATAATTCACAATAAACAATACAAACTATTTGCACATAGGCAGAGAGACAGATTTGCAAATGATGGATGAATGGTCCGGATGCAGTTATTAGTAATTTATAAATCATTTAGAGTCAATATCGTAATGATCGTCAACATGGAAAGATATTCATTCCCGTTTAAAGATATTTCTTTAATTTTGTTCAATGTTTTGTCCGTTTCCTTCGTAACGATACCGATACAACGTTATTTTTCTTTTTGTCTTTTTTAAAGCAACGTTGACAATGACATTGAGAACTTGGGACGACGACAGTTTCATCAACGTTATAATCTTCTAACGTTTAACATTGTAAGGATGAGAAGGTCTGTTAAGCAAGAAAAGGAAAAAATTTACAACGTTACTCAGTTTTTTGATCTTGCGAACGTATGGTGAAATAAAAATAAGGATGTTTCAATGATTTGGACGTTCTTGGTACTACTGGTTTACAATCTTTAACAATGACAGGAGCAAAAGTCTTCGGATTCAACATGAATATTTATCTATTGAAGAATGGGAATAGGAGTTTTGGCTCTTTCGATTGATTTGAAATGTAAAAAACCGATTGCTTTGCTTTTCCTTATCCCGGACCAGTAAAACATTCTATTATACTTTACCTTAGCGCATCGTGTTATGCTGTACCGAATCATAGTGAACATATGGATACTTCTTGTCCAACTTGCGAAGAAATACCGAAACATCTTAAGTAAACAATCTACTCGATGTCGATGACTGCGTCTGATTAAATTTTAGTTTCAGTCTTTAGCATTGCTTGGTTGGAAATTAAATGGCGTTTGTCATGTTTTGTATTACCCGTTTTCCTCAAAATTACATAATAATTTGTGGCTTCTTCATCTTTCATTCCTCCCATTAATATTCCTCTTCCCCCCCCCCCC